ATAAAATTTATTTCGATCAACAACATGCAATTCTTCTCATTACTAGTATGTACCTACGCTTAATTTGGTGATTGATTGCATCCTGCCGCTGTTTTCATCTATTCAACTAAAAAGACTTTACGGTTAACTAATATTTAAACAACTTCCTGAAAGATAATATGAAGTGTATGGGCTGTTTAATCTAAAGAGTCACCGAGTCTAGAGTTTTATTAAGAAAAGTTCTAAAAATGGATATAATTCATTCACCGTGTGTAATGAAGTGGAGGTTGTAGAAATCTACTGCAATTATAATAATCTGTGAATATTGATAAACCTATAAATTGTCAAACCATTCAAAGGAACCTTCAATTTCGCTGCCAATCGTCTTAGTTTCAAGTTCAGCAATATCCAAACCTGAGAATATTTAAGGATTGGTGACGGAAGAGGCTGCGGCCGAACCATCAGGACTCGCCTTTGAACTCGTACCGGCCTTAGTACACGTAGTGGACCAAGTACACTTATCGGCAAATTTCTAATCTGCAATTTGTCGGTTTAGCTTGAAAAGCCGTCAGTGATTGGCTGATCAAGTAAAAATGCTCAACTAATTTTTAAAAATTACGGCCCCTGGCCTGGAAACGAGCTCTGCAAGAGTGACCGCGATTGTACTGTGAAGCGTTTGCGAGAGGACCTAGGGATGGGAATGGTGGCGCGATAGATTAGTAATTAAATAGACTTGAACAACATAACTTTAAATTTATTGGCGTCAGTAAATTTTTGGGAAAAATCGTAAAATTTAATTTATCTCTGAGTAAAATTACCTTAAGGTGAGACGATATAATTTTGGTGTGTTAATATTATGGCTCCGTTGTCTAAATTTAAATCAAATTGCGTAGATGTTCCTCTCAAAATTTGTAACCGTTTGGTGAATAGTAGATGTAACATGACTCACTCAGATTGCTGAATGTTAACCAAATTCTCCTGGACGTTACTTCGTGTTCGTCGATATGTTCATTAATACTAAAATATACTCTCGATAAAAATCCAACACGTTCGCCTTCAGAGCCCTAAATAATGCTGGTTAAGGCAGAGGTATGCAATATTTGATGGTTGCGAGAGTGAAATGTATCATTGTAAGTGCCAAATACGGTTGTACGATGTTAATCAACTTGCCGCTGAACGTTTGTGCCAACGATGCCAAAACCTCTGACACCAGAAACTTCTGAGCCTTATCAAATTTCTGGTTAATAGTTCTGGGTTCTGATCTATGCACGCACAACACCAAGACGAAGTGTGTCAACAAACATCTGATCATATGCCTCCTGAAGTTGACATCGTGCAGAAAAATACCCGCAGGAATATCAGGACAGTGGCTGAAGAAGTGGAGTTCTAGACACTGGACAATTAACGTGAACGTTGTCGCAACGAAGTGCTGAAGTATCTTCGTCACATACCAGGGCGGTCGAGAATACATTACCGTGAAGCGAATTTGAGCTGCTTCGAGTTCATCTTCGAAGATTTTCGAATTCATTGCACATAAAACAGCAACAAACATATGCACTTTTTGGAGATTTCGCCCGACTCTTCTGATTACTTCAGGGCTTCGTCGATTTTCATTGATCTCGCACAGAAACGGAATCGACAGTGGAATCAAGACCTCAGGGAAAATGAATCTCCATTCCTCATCGTCCTCTCGAGGTGTCGTTTGTACGTACTCCAAGCAGCCATCCACGTCAACCATTACTTTATTCGACTGGGACTCGATACTGAAATTTTTAAAATCTATTCTCAACACTTCCGAGGGTTCGCATATGGAATTCCAGAAGGTGTAGGCGTATTGCAGCGTTTGTAACTCCAGAAAACGTTTCAGTTCTTCTTTACTACTCGGCGCCCAGTTGAGGGGTTCGCTGCAGCACACGCCCACGTATGACAAGTCTTCCTCACTGAGTTGTGCCGCCATCTGGTGACAACACAAACTAATAAATAACAAGCGCGGCATTTACTAAATAATTTGTGAGGACTTAATTACAAAGATATAGCTAGTATTAGGTACACAATTATGTAGTCAACAGCAACACAGGAGAGTCGATTGAAAAATTTCTATCAAGAAATATCAAATCGCTTTAGATATAAACGCATTCTAAACGGCTAGTAAAGAAGTCGCAAGGCTACAAAGAATATTCAAACACGGCGCTTACAACGAACTATCAGTAAATTCATTTCTAGGGCCTATACTTTCAAAGAAAGTTAAGAGATCGTAAGTTCATCAGCCAATCACTGACGGGCTTTCAAGCAAAATCCACAATCTAGGCACGACTTGAGAGTGGACTCTTGATTTAGTAGAAACGGTGCACGAATGGCGTGACTGGCAGACTACTTGGCTGATGCCTAGTGGCACTAGCCAAAGCTAACGTGCTATTCAAATTTTGATAAGAACTTAATTTCCGAGTGTTGCTGTAAAAAGTAAACGAATTTCTTTACACTTGTCTCGAAATTCTATTCAGGCTTTGGCCGTACACGAACGAATTGATCTTCTTTAGCCGGTGTTTCGTCAGTGGCGTAAATGAATCCGTCTTTCTACACCCATGCACGAAAGCTTTTCAAATCGTACGAGTTTCAAATCAATACTATAGAACTGCAATTTATAGAAACTGTGCAAGGAATTGTCAATAGGAGATAATGAACTGAAACTATTGAACGAGTGCCACTTTATTCTCCAATCTCCAGAACTATCACCTTCCGGCGACAGGTTTTGTTACCCCTTTCATGCACATCGAAAGACAATGAACATTGCTTAGTATCTTTCTCCTTAGCACAAGACAGTAAAAAAAACGAGAAGTTTCTATTTACTACCACCGGAGCACAGAAGTCTTCCAGATCCCGGCTCACCTTTACTTACTTGGCTACGAAGGGGCGCCCGAGACTTTTCGCGACTCCTCTACTTCACGACTGAGCGGTCGGCGAGCTTTAGCCGGACACGGAGCTTTACATGCCGTCGACAGAAGAAACCGGAAGGACAGAAGGAACCGGAAGCCTAACAATGCAATCGAAACTTGGAAGCATTTTCTGTGGTTTTTTAATGGAAATTACCGTGATTTCACCACTAAAATCAATGAAAAAGTGGCTAATTCATAATCTTTTTCAATTCCAGCTTGAATGTATGCGCGGTAGTCAAACTTAAAAGACTTGTTAAATTTTTTATTCGGCAAAAATAGTCGGATCAGTTTTTGCACATGTTGAATATCTTAAAACATTGAAATTTCACACGCTGCGCTTGAAATTATCGAAATGATACACAAAATTATCAGCAAATTAATTCATCAATACAACACTGATTTTCTCCTAGAGCCCTAATTATAGAAATTCTGATCCATCGACAGCATATGCACTAATTATTGTTTGAATGATATTTCTTATAATGGCCACTTGAATGTATTTGTTCGAAATAAATTGCATTAAGAATAATTATTATTCGGAGTAAGGAGCAACAGTCCATAATGTAGAGGCTCTCTGACTAATTGGAACCACATGTAAAATGGAGTCCAGGGTTTTTTATTCCAATTTTAGACGATTCTTCAATAATTGTATGCTCATTTCGAATGTTTTTCCTCTCGACAATAGAATAATAATAGTTAAAACTGCGATGATAACAAGCTTTCAAGCGTAGTTTCCGGCTGCACTCGGAGAAATAAGCGAGAATTGTCTCAAATAGTGATGCAATTTTAATCCTTGTGCATCCAGACCCATTTAGCCCTACTAATGAGATAACAATTTAATTGGAATGAAATTGAACTCAATCCTTAGGCTCACAGCTCATTTATTGAGTGCGTTCTAGATTGCGGGTCGATCTACACTCATCTGGTTAATAACTTTGCACATCGTTTTCCCTTGGCCATCATATCTTCGCACAACAGTGTCTTTGCATAATAAGAACGAACTCTTTTTTTTTTGTCGAATATTTGTGAACAAAACTTAATTGAAACATCCTTTAATGTTGGACAATGGTGATTTTAATGTGTTCTATACCAGTTATGAGTGAGTATTTACCACGACTCTTTCTCGAATGACACCACGAATGATACCACGGCTGGTATCATTCGAAATTATAATGTTGATGTTTATGCATTATTGAGCAAACATCGGGTATCGCCGTTCTAATCATGCTAAAAGGTTAATCCGGCGGGGATCCATAGAAATAATCCTCGAGAATTCAGCATCCCATTTCCGTCACCAAACCTTTTTATCTGCCGTTGCAAATTTCTCGAACTGCAGTAATGAGTTAAGCGTTCAAAAACTCTGTAAACTTTCATGGAATTGCTCTTGTAATTTAGAGTCTATTTAGGATGGAACTGAAATTTAAATTTTAATTCTCTTTGAATGGCCTCTGGTATATTTACTAACGATCTTCTGAATTTTTACGATCTTTTTGTGTATTTACACTAAGAAACGATATTCTTAACTCCAATATAGTCGACTAGCAACTTGCAGCTGATCTATCCCAGCAAGGAGATAATTATAACCGTACTTTTAAAATTAAATTTCCGAGCCTAATTCCGAATAGTTCTTCCGACTTCAATTCTAGTTTTTTTATTTTAAAAAGGAATAAGGAACAGTCTATCGCGAGGCCTAAATTTACTCCATTTGGCGTAAAAATATTGCGGAAACACAGCAAGTTATATATATACAGCAAGTTTGTAACACTTTATATAGGTAGAAATAAGGAAAAATTATTTTGATATCAGGACCGCAATTTTATCTAAAAAAAAACTTCCCAAAACGAACGAAGATGAGTAGAATACAGTTCTACGAGATTTAGATGAAGGTCATCAATGGAATAACTAGTTATTGCTTTTTTGTAGTTTAGATTGTCCAGTCAGAAATTGCAATGGTCGATTCAAGCGTCGGAAGGCGTAGAGAAAAGGGCAAATTTAAAATTTATCAATCCATTAGCAGGTTTTGTTTAATACAATATTAAAGTATTAACAAGATAAAAACTATCTATTACATAGAAAAATACTTTGAAATGTAAAAATTAATGTAAAACCATCTAAATATATTAAAAAGGAGCAATAAAATTGACGTAATGGTGTGACCTACGTATTTTTTACTCTTAGAACGAGGCTAAATTTTTGATTGGACTGTCACGTAAACGAGTTTATTCGAAATTGTATCCAAAATTCTGAGCCGAGCTACTGTACTACAGAAAAATAAATTACATTGTACGTTAGATTTAAAAGAAAAAATACTAACCTAATCGGAGTCAGGTTATCGTAGTTAATGCACATCTTGAACCTGACGAGAAATTTTATCTCTTCAACTAACTGCTGACTAGCACGAGTAAAGAGACCTTCTAGATCTTCATCACCGCGATGAAATCCGAACATTATGCAATAATGCGTGTACAGAAGACATAATAAGTTTTTACGTTGATCAGGGTGCAAAATAACGGCCATAGCGATCCTTACAGACAACACTCGTTCGATCTGATCAAGCAAGATCGTCAAAACCTGCTGGTATGTCTTCCAGCAAGCCGATATTATAAGCTTATCTTCTTTGGGCGTAATATCCAGCAATCTACCCTTGAAATTGAATTCAATATTTTCGATTGCATCCAGAAAAACTGGTATTTTCATAACGCTAAGTGTCATAGTGAAGGCGATAACCTCCCCGAATTTCGACGATCTCTCCGAATGGCTTACCATTCCCCAGTCTAACTCCAGTGCGAGCTTCGGCTGCAGACTCGCAATTTCGTTATACACAAAACATGCCACCTCAATGAGTATATCTATGTATGGGCTACGTTCCTCAGTTGACCGTCGAAAAAAAGGTACGCGCATGCTTTTTGTAAACCCATCGTGATCTTCGTATCGTACACTCAATGTGCGAAAGTCGGCCGCCTTGACGTTCCTATCGCGCAATAAATCCGTCCAGAACGATATGGACCCGTGTAGGCAGGCTGCCTTGAAGTGAGCCGTCATGCTTTCTTTGCTTTCGAAACTGGAGGCGAGTGGACACTTTTCCCTGATCTCTAAGAACATTTTGCGGTCTTCTTTAGCAGTGGCCCAGGTGTATGCTGAAAGCTGAAAAAAAAGTACTCACAAAATGTTTACTTATTTTCACAATATGACATACGAGACGAAGTTTCACGCAACGATGAGTTATAAACAGTGCATATAACGTATCTTCAGAGGGTCGGGAAATCATGATCCAATCAATATATTGAATTTATGATCTTAAAAGTTGAAGCAGTATGAACTACAATTTAATATTTAACTTAGGTACTTAGAACTACTGCACAAAAAATCATAGAATTCATTTCGAGCAACTTTTCACAGTCGAAAATAAAACCCTCACGGCGCAATGTGACGCAGAGATATTTCAAAATACATAAAATTGGATCTCTAGGAAATTATCGAATAATTTAATAAATCATTAGTTAAAAACGGCATTAGAATTAGGCCGCACTATCAAAAGCAGCCTATATGAACATAGGCTGGTCCAAGTAGATATAGCGGCATAGGTACAAATAGCGGCAGATTTCTCGTCTTTCGTTGGTGGTTTATCATGAAAAATTGTTAATGGCCAGCGAACTCTAACTCTTAATTAAGCATTTCTGATAGCTCGACCCAGTACACACACTCGTCCCGAATTCATTCTCGCTACGGCACAAGTGAAGCTAACGCATAGGAATCAAACTGTTACTCACCGATTTCGGATCCATGTCAAAAGCCAGTAACTGTAAGATTGCAGTAAAACTTCGCTTAAAATATTACCTTGATACGATGTAATCTTGTAATGAATGAAGTGAAATAATTTTAAAATGTCTCTGAAAAAGTTTAATTAAACCGAGAAAAGCAAATTGTCATCTTATCTTACAGAGGTACAAATGACAAGCAAGATCTCAAACGAACATAACTATATTAAAGTGGCTTTCTGCTTTTCAAGAAGGTTGGGGCTCCACAAAATTAAAATTAATTGACGAAATTAATGAAGGTATGATTCTATTGTGTTAGCAAACTTCAGTCTAAGTTTAATACTGAATTTCCGTGGCATTAAAGCCAAAGTTTCCCATTAACAAAAGTTTTACGAAACGACTGACTTTCGTACTAGATCCATTTATAGGCCATTACTCTAACAAAATTCGGGGACCGCCTGGCTTCGGCCCAATGGTCACAATACTCGGCGCAAAGTTATTGTGGGTCTGCTTGGCCACCCGATCGAAATCAGTTTCTGGTCAGAATTTTTTTTCCGACTTTATAGTCGTCAAAGAGTATGACGAGCGTTGGCCGAGCCAAGTCGTATAGAGCTAGTCAGCTGCCCATGCTGGCTGCCCTTCGAACCCTGAGCCGAAGCGGACATAGAAAAGCTGGTTTACGTGCTCCTCGCGTCCTAAGCGGCCCTAATGCAGGGTTGCGCACGCCTCTAAATTTCGTTGGGGTAGTTTAGTTCCAGCCAACCATTAGAGTAAAATCGCGAATAGAGCTGATAGGAACGCAGGTAAATTCCGTTTGAACCTAAAATTGAGAATACTAAATTTTGTTATTCTATACCAAGTGGTCATAACTTTCCCAAATCACGTCTTTTCTTCAAGTTTCAACTGTAACACTAATCACTTGATAAATTAGGTTTCTTGAGATTTCAGGCCTCTACTTGCAATAGTTGTGGATATGTGGTATACGTAGTTTTTTTTAGACCCCTTGTTTACAGAGTAGTCAGTCCGCGCGCACGCGACATGAAACAAAATGCCATTGTTGGGGACCATGTGGTCAAACAAGTCTGCACGAAGTGTACCTCATAGTGGGCGATTCAGGGAAACTTCCTGGTTTGAAAGTTCAATAAAAAACTAGTATGGATATTACAATATACATTTTATTGAATAAGTCATTACCCGAGTAATGTATCACTCGGTTTTAAAGATGACATCGAAAAAATGACGGCCCCTGTTGTCAATGCATTCAGTTAGGCTAGTCGATTTTTGAAGCTCAGTTCAACTCGCTGAAGCATATTGACGGGTATGTTGGCGATGGCTTGGCGTATGTTGTTCTTCAAATAAGGCAGGGCCATTGGTCAGTCATTGTAAACAATTGATTTCTGATAACTCCTTAAAAAATAACATTAAAGCAAATCGTGTAAACCCACGTAACAATCTAATTCCGATCCGGAACTCGACATGAAGAACAAATACGGAAACGAGTACGGAATGCTCGTCGAAGAGCGATAGTGCAGATCGCCGACGCGTCTGCAGTCCTCACCTCCCACTCCTCCGATGTGGCTGCATGGGCTCGTCGGAAGGGGTTATCGGTGTCTATCCCCAAATCCTGAAGCAGGTTTGCCCGCGCGGGCAACCTGCTCCAACCTGCCACAAGAATGAACATAGGATAATAATGTTAAGTGTTCACAGTGAAAACCTGTACGAATAGGCTTCTGTATATTCTATGGTTTCAGGCGCCAACCTGAGCAGGTAACCAGCATGCTGGCAACCTGCTTTCACTGTGTGCGTACCTTAAAAGAGTATGACGAGCGTTGGCCGAGCCGAGTCGTACCGAGCTAGCCAGCTGCCCAGATGCTGCCCTTCGAACCCTGAGCCGAAGCGGACATAAAAAAGCTGGTTTACGTGCTCCCCGTATCCTATAGGCGGTCCTAATGCAAGGTCGCGCACACTAAATTTTGGTGGGGTAGTTTAGTTCCGGCCAACCATTAGAGTAAAATCGTGAAGAGAGCTTATATGAACGCAGGTAAATTTCGTTTGAACTTAAAATTGAGAATACTAAATTTTGTTATTCTATGTCAAGTGGTCAAAATTTTCCTACATCATGTCTTTTCTTCAAGTTTCAACTGTAGCACTAATTAAGTGCTAAATTAGGTTTCCCGAGATTTAGGGCCTCTAGTTGCAATAGTTGCGGATATATGGTAGACGTAGATTTTTCTAGACTCCTTGTTTGAAGAGTTTAGTCAGTCCGCGCGCACGCAACATCAAACAAAATGCCATTGTGGGATCTCAAATCATTGAGGCTAATGCATCAGAACGTTCAGTAAGATGCGGCAGTGCTGATCGTTTTGAAAACGTTTTGTGATGATCCAATTAACTGTAACATTACTTGTTTAAAATCTGGTCAAACAAGCCTGCACGAAGTGTACCCCAGCGGGCGATTCACGAAAACTTCATGATTTGAAAGTTCAAAAAAAAAAAAAACTCCTATAGATATTATAATATACATTTTATTGAACAAAGCATTATCCGAGTTATTGTATCACTCGGTTTCAAAGATTACATCGAAAAATGACGGCCCCCATTGTCAATGCATTCAGTTAGTAAATTTTTGAAGTTCACTTCAACTCGCTGAAGCATATTGACGGGTATGTTGACGATGGTTTGGCGTACGTTGTTCTTCAAATGAGGCAAGGTCATTGGTCAGTCATTGTAGACAATTGATTAATGATAACTCCAAAAAAATCACATGAAAGCAATTCGTGGAAACCCACGTAACAATCTATTTCCGATCAGGAACCCGACCTGAAGAACGAATACGGAATGCTCGTCGAAGAGCGATAGTGGAACGGCCGTTAGAAAAGTACGCCGCGACATCAAACGCACGCTATTCACTTGTCCAATGCATAGTGGCAACTAAATAGGCGGGACACAAAACTTCACGACCTTGCCTCTCAAATGAAAGGCAATCGGTTTCCCGCCCTTTTTCTGCAACATCTGGCTGCTTGGCGCGAATTGCAAAACAGGAAGTTCATGAATCACCCTGCAATTTGTCGTGACTCCTTGCAACAAATATTGACCAATATTCACAGTGCAATAATTTCCTTGCCCATAAGGTTATGGAGTTGAACTGCTGACCTATCTTCATGCTGGAGCTGGACATATTACAGCGAGATTCCCAACTATCCATGCCCCGTATTCGTCCTACGATGTCTTTTCAAGTTAGGCAGGTTCAGCGCAAATTGCGTATGTCACCAAAGTTCCAATTCAATCAGTAAAAATACACGGCCTGGATCGCTGGTGAATAGTATCGTCTGAAAGAAAATTATGCTCCACAAGATGTACATTTTTTTCTTGCGTTGCATTTCTTAGATACTTATTAAATCAGATCAAATTAGGTCATATTCTGTACGAGCCAAATTTACAACTTTTGCGTGGCAATACTAGTTTATTCTTAGATAACGATCTTCATCATGAAATTCGGGCTGACTATTTTGCAGCTATTAGCTTTGAACTAGGTAAATGTTACCATTAGAGCAGAGGCTCTGCATTTTATCCTGTTCAAAGAAAAAGATTAGTTCAAAGTTACAAGTCCATATCTTCATCTGCAAGGAAATTATTGCAGTCTGAAAATCATCAAAATTTGCAACATAAAGTCTTGATAAACTTAGAGGTACATTTGTCGCGTGCGGGCTGACTGCCTACTCTTCTGATTGTGTGGTCCAGACAGTAACCAATGCAGCTGGAGGCCTGAAATCTCGGGGAAACTTAATTTAGTACTTGAATAGTGAATGCTACAGTTCAAATTTGAAGAAAGTTGGAAATATAATGATGAGAACTTTATTTACTTTATATAGACCACTTGGTATGTAATAACCAAATTTGGAATCGCCTGCAGTTCGAAGTCAAGATCAGCAGTATTCACAGCGCTAGACCTAAACCCGTTCTGGGCGACGGCAGTAACTTGAGCCTAACAGTTGGTCAAAGTTACGAGTTTGTTGCAACACATCGATGCAGCTAGGCCTAATACTTATTTCAACATACCAGAAGGCTGCTCGTTCGCGTGACGCAGGTTTGACGTGACAATTAAATTAGTTTGGTGATATAGACGTACCAGATGATTCAATTCCAATCACGCAGGAGAGAAACAAAACCAGTAAATCGTTTCGAACATTAGGCTCTTCTCAAATTATGAAAACACTACTCAAAGATATACGGTGCAAGGAGAAAGAAGGTCAGGACAATATTTGTTTTAAAGGCATGCTTCTAGTTTTACAATCATAGAAGTAGAAAATTCATGCACGAATCTCAGAAAATTTGAATATTTCAGCAGCCCAAAATTATTACCAACAAATTCATCATCTGCATTTCACTTGCACCGAATTCGTTCTCACCGCACTAAAAACCTGAAAATAAAACTTACATCACACGATTCATTCCTAATTTGAACACTGGGAACAGTTTCGTATTAACAATAACATGCCGCGATGAATGTCATGTCCATTTACCGTGCACGCTGACCACTTAATGCCAGAGGCCAGTAGCGTTACTGCCATGAGTATGCTAACTCAAGTCCGTCATATAAAGCTTTCCACACTTTCTTCTCACGTTTTCAGTGTCTTCTGAGTATTCACAGCACCCCACCACCCTAAGGCTGGTAATGGAACTTTACTGACGTTTGGTCGTGAATGTAATAGTGATACGGAAGGGTAAACGCTTGCTGGATACGGAAGGGTAATGAGGTCGGAATTACAGATTTTACCAGAATTCGAATGTGAAATCTGTGTCCACTCATCACCTCAAGTTTTCAGACGTGAATATTGTGCATTACGAATCATTATTACGATAAAAGCAGCAATTTATCAATAAAACTTTAAAATTCATTGGTCTGGGCAAGTTTGGGGGTTATTATAATTATTATTTCGTTGATTTATTTTACTACTAAGTGTGTAGTGAGTCCAAATGCGCCAACCGGCAAATTTAGCATTTATCATTGACTAAATTCATGTTCAATATAATGCTATCCATTTCATTTAGCTCCAAACTACTAAATAATAAACAACAGTTTTCATAATTTTTTAATTAACCTAGAATTAATATTATATTCATTCTAGGTTAATTACTACACTCACTACACATTTGGTAGAATAATAAATCAGAATAATAATTATAAGAACCCCCAAACTTGCCCAGACCAATGAATTTGTCAGTTTTACTGATAAATTGCGGCTTTTATCGATAATTATAGTCAGGGTGGGGGCTCTCATTTAAATACTTATGTTATTTAAATAAAAGAGTCTTGCTTACTTATTGAAGGTCGGTTTATCATAGAAATTAACTTGGGGTTTAATATCGACGACAGGCCTACATAGCCCAATGAAAGCTGGCAGCACTATGTAATAGATAATTTCATATATTATATTGTGAAATTTTCTTTTAATGACCCCGCTTATCATTATGGCAAGTTGCGGTTTTTAAACGGAATGAGTTCTGTCCTGTTGCAGCCATTTCGTTCACTTACTACTTCCTTTAACCATCGCGTCCATGTAATCTGCCTATTTTCACTTCAACAGTCCAGCCCCTCGCTCCTTCATTCAATGCTTATTCGGTTCTCAAGTGCATTATTTATTTACGGATGTGACGACAGCTTCGAATGCTTGTAGTCTTGGGCCCAGCAATTCATGCATTCAGAATATCAATTTATGTAATATATCCGCTATTCGATCTCTACAGGATTAAATTATTTAGGAATTAAATATGGTAATTTTTAGCTTAAATTTCTGAAGAGTTCGTCATCTCTTCCAACGAAATGACAAAATTGAACGGTTTTTCAATGAAGTGACAAGTACTGTATAATGATGACTGGAGTCTGCTTGCGCAAAACGTTCTTGTCTTCATCCACTTGCAATGCTACAAGCAAGAATGACAATCGCAATGCGATGGCATGAATGACGAATTGACTAAATTCAAAATTTGATAATTTACAGTCGCTCCGTAAAAATGTAATAGAAAAAATTCGAGCATTTCATTCACTTTTGGGCATCTAATCTCACTACATCTCGTATTCGATTGAACTGCATAGTGGCTCTAACCGCTATGTGGGAACGATCCATGGAACTTGCAACTTTAAGACCCTTTCACATCTAAAACTAAGGCGAGAACAATGAAGTTCAAATCATAAGCCACCATAACATTAACGAAGTCAAGTAAACCCACATCAAATTATCCCAGAAATTCATTGCGTAGAAGCCATGTAGACTGTGGCTGAAACACTGTCAGGACCGCATGTAATGCTTCGTAGCTTCGAAGAGTTTACATAAATCATTGTCCGACAATTGAAATGGAGAGGGGGAAATTGTACGGTGGTAAAGATTGGTAAAGATGGCATGGTACAAATCGCAGGAAAATCAAAACTTGAAAATAACTTGCCAACCTTTCGAACTACGAACTCCCATGGGTTGCGTAGAAGTGATGGCCGACGTGTCCTCAACAAGACTTCGAGTTGAAGTATTAGTATGCAAGGCAGAGAGAAGATCAGCTGAAAATTACATCATAATTCGAGTCCTTAAAAGCCAAGCATCACCGATTCGTTAGGAATAAAGAAACATCGACGTCACGTTCTCTGTCTATTTAATTAATTGCCTTCATACATCACCTGGAAAGAAACTTATACTAAACTTTGTAAGATTCGTAAAACTCAACAATCTCTAAAATATCGAATTGGACAGAAGAACGACCCAGGAGTTGTTCTCTAATTGTATGATAAGGACTCGCAGAAATCTGCGAGGCTAACAACAGAAATATACTGAATTATTAAACAATTCTAAACAGACTAACAACTAACGAGCAACATTCGCCTATAATAGTAATATATATAAAATCAACAGCCTTCACTGAAATAATGTTGGTAAAGCGAGGTCACCCTGAAACTGGCAAGTTCAATTAAGCCCGTTCATCATTACTTTTAAAATATGGTTAAGAAATGTCAAAGTCGCTTGATGTGGAAAATAAGTATGGAAGATGCCGACATTTTGAGCTACACGAAACCGAAGCAGTAGCCAATAGTCATTTACAGTTCAGCGGGGCAAAATCTAATTGTCAAATGGTTAATAAAAGCCACTCTCCAAACAAAATTATAAAAAAGCTACGAATAAAATTATACTGAAGATTAAGGTCGACGCTCTTCTTCGTCGGCTACATTAAAACTGAAGAAGATAGCATTATAAGTCATAACAAGTATAAAAACAACTAAGTAAGGTGTACCAAGGTTGACGCATTCAAATGACATCCTGGACCTGACAACAGTTTCCAGATCTTCCATAAGAAGCATCCGTGCTTCATTTAAACGTTGCTCCAACCCTTCACTGGCTTCACATAATCTGTAAACCAATGAGAAATGTTGGTACACTAGTCTCATAATAATTGCCCGTTCATGTTGGTTCAGAACCACTGCAGCTGCGTCAACGAAAGGGCACGATCGCTCTATTTCTTGCATCAAGAAACTTAATATCTGCGTGAATGTTACCCATGACGCTGTCACCAATAGCTTTTTGTCAGCTGGGTCCACGTGTTCATCATCAGACCTGAAGATCATTTTCGTGTCTTTAATTACTTTTAAAAACTTCGAAATATTAACGACACTAAGGTTTACGACGAAAGAACACACTTTTTGAAACTTCATGGCAGCTTTAAGCTTAGTCAGAGCTGGCTTGTTGGCCGCGTAACCAGGAACGAGATAGGCCAATGTACAAAACAGACGATTTGTACACTCTATGACATGGGAATGGTAACTTCCTCCAACCGCACCAGGGGTAATTAAATCGCTGAGGTAAAATACCGTGTTAGTTCCACGAGGCTCCATTTTATAATTTAGAAAGTCTACTTTTGCCGCCGTCAGGTCTATCCCAGACGATTGCAGCATCATACTTTTCTTCATGGCCGTCGGCAAGCAACTTGAAGAGAAGTATGAAATGAGGCTATTCTTGTCGTTATAAGAACACACGAGGGGACCTCTGCTATTGAGCCCCTCCAGTACTTTGCGATCCACGACCATAGCTTCTTCAGTGTACCTAGAAATCTGTGGACGGCGAAAAAGGTCATTATAAGCTAACTAAAATGCTTAGAAAATTTGTATTTTCTGTTCTGACCATACATCATTTCATCAACAAATTTAATAAACTTCACAAGTGTCGAAAATTCGGTTAAAAAATTGAAGGAATATGAAAAAACTATAATTCTACACCAGACCTATGAACACCAAACCTGGGCCCATACTTTCAAAAAAAAGTTAAGAGATCGTAAGTTCATCAGCCAATCATTGACGGCCTTTCAAGCAAAATTTACCAATCGTAGACAAGAAAATAGAGCATAAGTACTGACGTTCACTTAGCGAATTTTGAAAGTATAGGCCCTGGACAGGTATTCTGACGTGGATGTCCAGCAAAGAGGTCCTGTATTGCAACTCCTGGCTTCAATTCAATACAAGTTATTTTAAAGTTTAACTGCATGGATCTATTCTACAAGGAATAAATTTATTTTTTTTGTCGTATTATACCTTAATAGTTCGATAATAAAACTGTCGAATAGGGAATAGTTCAACTGTCAGAACGTTCTTCAGATTCCACTCCGTTTAGATTGTGGAGAAATGATGCTCGACTAACTTTGTACGAGTTGCATTTAAACCAAGCTTACGTTTAGAAAATAAATGCAGTCTAGCTAGGTTATACAATTTGTAAAGAGACGCAGAAGAACTATAGGAACATTGACGTATGTATAAATATGGAAATCTCGTTCGTGCTGTACTCATTCCCCAAAGAAGCTATAACCAAAAACCAAGGACCGTGCTCAACACGAATTTAAAAAGCTATGAAACAAACTTTTCCATCAGAAGAATAGTATATTCGAATTGTAAACCGAAGACTGCAGCGAGAAGGAACTCAAGTGTTCCTAGATGAATAAACTAGCTGCATTATTCCTATACATTATACAATTATACACAGAACAGTTTCTAAAATCTAAAAAAAAAACTGAACTAACTCACCGCTGATGGCTCCATGATGTATTGTTCAGGTAGTTGCGACAAATAGAACTTCAATCCATAAACCTATGTCTATAACTCGTTCAATTTAATATATTAAAAAAACTACTAAGATTAGTTTCAAGCAAAAAATTATCAATTAAAATATTCTGGAAATTAATCAATCTTACAATTGCAAAGATACGGGTGGTCATACATTAATTTGGACACCGGCCCTCACCACCCGCCGTGCCAGTCTTCCCGCACAACAATCAAATTTAACCTTTCATTATACATTATTCTTCCTCCACTCGGTAAAATCATAATATGCCACATATTGGATTGAAAGCAGTCTTCATAAAGTCGAATGAGCTGCTGATAAGGTAGAATGACACGATTGGGTAAATAAACCTTCGATTTCAACCAGAGATGCAAATAAACCTTATGATTCAACCGAAGCTGGTTCAATCATTAGTGAAGACACATTGGTTAGATCTCCCACACGTGTTATTATTGGGTACAAAGTCCATGCACTCGTTAGCGACAGATTTCTTGGTAGAGCATCTCGATCAGGCCACCGACTCACGGCTCTGTATTTTGATGGATCGCCCCCACCAGGACTAGACCATCTAAGAAATCTAATTCACAAGCTCAAAATACCCTATTCAACAATCAACTGCAAAAAAATTCCAATCATACAATTCTGTGTATGCCGCCAGTTAGGCAACAATCAAGAGTATAATTTAGTAGGAGTACATACACGTAGCAACACCAAAGCCCGTTTGCCGCACGCGTCTACCATTTGTCTTGATCTCAGGGCTGATCATGAACTTGGTCATCCGCCAACACTTTGATTGGGCTGTTGGTAACGTACTTTTTTCTACGTGGATTGCCTTGTATTACCAAGTCGATTAAATAAACTGTCATTCCCAGCTCGATCAATTAATTGATCGAATTGAAGAAATTAATTAAGAAACCTTGTTTATTTAATGTTTTGCGAAAGCATTTATCTCAGTTTAAGTAAAATAATTAATCCAGCCAATGAACATCATCTACTGAGTTTATTATATGCGATTAAAATCAATATTGCAATTGAATATAACTTCCCCTCTTTCTTTTCCAGCATCCCTCCTATCATCTCTTCTTCAACTGCAATTTAGGTTGAAATGGACACCCATAATATCTTCAGAATGAAACTGACATTAAGATCAATTGGTTGCCCGAATCACAAACGTATCAAAAATATAATAAATGTAATACCAAAGAAATTTTCAGTATATAGGTCCAACTGTGTCGGTTTTTCCGTTTCTATGTTATTTATTGATCATTTTTGTCGAACTTTACATGTAAATTTTTGTTCCCTTAACACATAGGAATATGAACCTGTGAAGGAGCTGATTATCAGAAAACTTCTATTACAAATATAAGGTCTCGGGCGTAAGACTCGCGGCCGGTCTCGCGGCCGGTCTGACGGACAATCGCCAAATTCAGTGACCAAGGAATATCTCACTAACAAATGAATGTAGTACGTAGGCAAATGAAACTTAGTACACGTATTCATCAGGACCTAACGGGGATGTTGAGCTCATGAAAGTTTTTTTTCCATTTCACCTTCATTCGTGAGTTATACGGCAATTCGGGCGAAATTTGCAGTGGCCAAGAAATTTTTTCTAAACTACTGAACAGATTTGAATGAAACCTTAAATATACAAACCTAACCTCCCAACGGTGATTTTTAGCTCGGGACAATTTTTTCGATTTTGTCTTCGTTCGCGAGTTATACGGATACACCGAGAAACAACCGACATTTCTGAGGCCGATTTTTAAATTTGCATGGACAAAGAGCCGTCCGTATAGGTACGTATAGCCGCCGTATAACTCTCAAACGACGGCAAAATCGAAAAAAAATATCACGAGCTAAACAACACCGTTGAGAGATTAAGTTTGTATACTCAAAGTTTCGTTAAAATCTGTTTAATAAATTAGAAGGAATTTCTTGGTCACTGCAAATTTCGGCCGAACTACTTTATCAATTAAATCTAATAGATAAAGCAATTCGATCCATTTTCACGGATCGGCTGGCGCCAAAACACCAGTACGACCGTTTATCAGTTTTATTTCTCGAACTGTGTACATTGGCACAATACTCGATTTTCATATTGAAATCAACTTCCTGAAGGAGTGGATCATGATTTTTCTTTCCGACAATTTCTTGTGCGTGAGCGCAGATCACATTGGCATAAAGCTTGTGGCTTCAAACTGCCGAACCTAATCCCAAGTTGCACGCTTTGAATGAACAAAAGAGGGACACTTATAGTACGTGATTTATCATAGCAAGAAACTATTAAAATTTTAACGAAATTTTTGCCGCCTTTTAGTGCGACCTCGGAATAAAGCAAACGAGTGAAATAAAGATGGGAAATGAAAACCAAAAAAAAAATAGTAGACTTCCAGCGTAACCTAAGAAGATTGATTTGAAGAGGATAAGATAAAGGAAACGCAGAGAGGCGATGAGATTTTTCTTATCTCGCCTTGGCGAATGACGAGCTTTACCACATGCTTTTGGGAGTCTAACTTCGGTGTTTATCGCACAGAAATCCTAAACGCTGCGCTCACGATAAAAACGCGTTGTTTTACGTAAAATCAGACACTCCGGATATGCATGTAAAGAAGTGCAGAAAATGATTATGGCAGTAAAATTTAGGACGATGATAGAATGAGCCTCGGGGACAGCATAGATTCGTCTATCATTTTAAGCACATAAGGAATCAAATCCACGCTCCCACACGCATTCATTAGCAAGGTTTAACATCTACAATGTATACAAGATAATTAAGAGCCTTTGCAAAGTCGGTTTAGTGAATATTAAAACGTTAATGAATAGTAAAAGTAAACCAGGTTATGATATCTAAAACACGCTCCTCTGTAATACCAACGTGACAATTATAACGTTATTCCTATTAAAATAACCGAAATTACACGTTTCAGCGATGTGACTGTCCTGCAAATAAACAGCATCGATAGCAACTAGGGGCATCGATTTGGGCATCACTAGGGACTTTTATGTCGTCGGTTCTTTCACACATATAGAACAATAAATGGAGTTAAAAGTTATATTAAATATGAAGAAAGCTAAGGTAAAACAATCCATATTAAGGCAAGTGACACCCATTCGAGTCTGGACCGTAGTGACGACTTCTCGCACCAAGAGTCGGCGTGCGTTCTTCAGATGGTTTTCAAGCTCATTACCTCTAGGTGAGGGGCACATCCTGTATACCAAACTGAAGTGCTGGTACAGAAGATAGATCAGATTCTGGCGTTGAGGAGGATCCAGAACAACTGAAGTGGCGCATAAAGAAGGGCAAGAGCGTTCTATCTCAAAAAGTAGGAATTTTATAATTTGTACGTATGCGCGCCAGGTTTGAGTCATCAAAAGTGTCGCATCTGAAGAAGAAACATCGTGTTTGTTCGGTCTGAAATGCAGTTTCTTTTTCTTCACAATTTTTATCAATTTAGGAATATTCATGACACCGATCGTCATTGTAAATGCAATGACCTTCTTGAAATCGAACGATATTTCATCGCTGCATTTTTCTAGCTCAGGCCCACAGAAAAATTTTGGACGCAATAGACTGGCTTCGTAAGACTGTAGAATCCTATTACCTGACATCAGAATCATATGATTATACTCGCTTGGTACAAGGACTCCGTACAAATGATTAGGTACGAATATTGCCGATCCTCGTGTGGATTCCTGCACTGTCAGGTTCTTGAAATCTACCAAATAATTATTTCCACCCTTTGGCATTAAATGTGTCCAGAAGAACTTTGCACCGGGCAGACATCCACGCCTGAGATGAGCCAAGAGACTGTGCCTGCCGCGGCACGTGATTTTCATGGGGCCGACATCGTAGTAAGTCAACAGAGTCCAGCGATCATTTTTCCAAACAGCATCTGTGTACATGAACAGCTGGAACAAGACATTTCATCGTTAAGTTGGAGCAAAAGAAGTGTTCAATAGGAACATAATTCTCAAATATTCAACACATATATTTTTTCAGCTAGGTTTGTAGATGCATTACACCATGTATCTTCATACCGTGTTATGAGTATCAAATTACATGCGATAATAAATAATTACATTACTGAACAGAATCCACTTGATTTTTGGGACATTCCTCATTAAGGGGGAATAAAATAAAGGAACGTATCACTATAACTTAATTGTTCCTGCAGATCAACGCTAATAAAAGATATCTACTGAAACTGGATACAATGAAACTAGAAAAATGCTTACCGCTTTGGATTTCATGTTTCTTCGTCACCTCGCGTCGGTTATGAACTAAAAACTAGAATTTATTATTTATTTGTAGCGTCCAGGAGAGCTCGAAAAATTTCAAGCTTAGCAGGATTTAAATGAAACCAACGATAAAATCTAATAAACGAATATTACTTTTATCGAGGGAGTACCTGGCAAGTTAATAGATGTTCAGGTATGGACACTTCACGACGCATTAGTGACGTAACGTTACTTAATTAGGTTTAAAAGATAGGCCATGCAGCATACTAGTATGGAGACTAGTATGGAGATCGTCGCATAAATCAAATAATTAGAAATGTATGTTGCAAATTTTGTTGAATGTTCTTCTAGATCTAGAATGCTGAAACTCTACTTGCTCTGACGATGGAAAATAAATTCTTGGGAATAAACAATAATGCGCAATAAAGACAGGTGCTCGATTCTATCAATAAATGTCAATTTCCTAATTGCAACGACGAATCTTCCAATTTTTGATCATCAGTGAACAAGAAATGAAAAATATCACGAGAACGTCTCAAAATTTGTATAATATTTACAGAGCAGAATAAATTGAACTAGACATGCTTTCGGGAGAAGAAGTCAGCACTTCCAGGACATAAATAATTGTATCTAATTTATTTATTGTTTGTCACGATAGTAATTGTGACTTGATTTGCAAGGCCCTACCGTGGTCATAAAGTATTATTTTATTACACTTTACCCAAACAACAGCAAATGACCGCATAGTTTATAAGAATGACACAGACGTTTTGACGAACCCAATATCTGCACGCCACACAATTTTGGACAACACAAACTTAGTGCAGGCTGAGGCTGGAAGAGCTGTTTAGCCGACATCACATGTAGCAAGACTGGTGGTAATTGTAAGATGTTTAAGTACTTGTATATACACAAGATCACACAACAATGTAGTTTTGACACAGTTGGAGCCATTCACTTGGTCACTAGCCTCTCTTCAGGACATTAAAGAATCTATTAAAACGCGCCGATGGAAAGTTTAAACTAAACGATGGAAAGTTTAGTCCGGGGCAGTTAACGGCTACGTGAAAATAAAGTTGAAGAGACTAAAGAATCATAATGTAATGTGATGCCATTTTTCACTTACAAAATAAACAAGGTAAAGAGGCAAAACTTTTTTTATCAGTTTAGCCGGAAATATGTCTCTGTCAGTTACTCCATTTTTCATTTTTAATCAATAACCATTCAGCTTTAAAATCTACATTTACCCGGTACTAACCGATTAGGCGATTAATAATAAATATTCATATTGAAAAGAAAGTGTTTTTGGTATTTTATTTCCATCAATGTGCACATCACCATCGGCGTGAATAAATCTATTGCTTGACTTTGATAATGAGCTGCTGCGACCAGGTGGATGGCGTTTGATCACTGTTTCAAAGCGTTGTCAGATTATCTTTTATTTGAAAGCAAATAATACCCTTTAGTTTTGCACAATTAAAAAATTTCGCTCGAACTTTGAAAGTATCCTCGTACCCTTGGGAATGCCCTAGCGGACTGGTAATGGTAAGCTTACATTTAGGTAATCATTGGTCTACAGCCTACATCAAATTTTCCGACCAATTTTTGTGAAGCAGTGTCCAAAAATTTCTAAGTTGTACCGCGTTTTCGTTTCTTATACTACATATAACTTCAAGCAAATTTTAATAATTTAAGCAGTTTGTATATTAACTCGTTGACGCACTCACAAACTTGATGGTAATTAATTTCCCTACATAAACACACTTTCAAGTTGTATACAATTAGTTCAGTCCAAGTGTCTTCAAGTAATTGGTGTGTTAGAGACTCCGGCTGTCGGGTATTTATCGGTCTATCATGAGCATCTCTAGGAAAGTCCAGAGACAAACAATTCACGGAAAAAAATCAACAAACTTGGAGCAAAATCCGGAATTTATAAGCTAATTATAATCTAACGTTCGGGTCAATAGCCATTATTTTTCATTTGAAGATCTCGAAAATTAACAGAAGATAATGGATAATGATCTGTAGGATTACATTGAGCCCTCTTAGCTCAAATTTGAAAGGCGGCTGACAACTCTAATTTCTCATGTCAACTCAACCTACAATAACTATTGAGAGGCTATAATGATCCGGGACACTTCGTAGTCAACGAAACTAAAAAATGTAACTCAGTACTCACTGCAGTGAGTGACAGAGAGCGCATTTTCTCGTCGACGAAAACGTGAAGTCACGGACGGACAGACAGACAGACAGACAGACGGACGGACATGGCGAGCACAATAGTGCATTTTTTCCATAAATGAGAAACTACGCTAAAAAAGGGTAAAATTAAATGGTTACTCATCAGCATTACGCCAGGTTACATTGAGCTTTTTTTAATTATCCAGGAATTAATTATGGCGGCGCCTATTCATTTATGAATTTTTCGCACAGCTATTAAAAAACCAAAATAATTTGTACTGATCTTGTCAGGGTCGTTCGGTCGGTTCTTTTTCATTCAAGAAACATTCAAGGCGCGCCGCAATTAAATTCAATAATAAACAATTTCTGGAAAGAATTTGTCAGCGTTTGTTGTTCCCGTTCCGAACGACAGTTCAACTGCGAATGTATGTAGGTATTTCGGAACATTGTTATAAATGAAATAATGTTCATGTACGATTGCATAAAGCTAACACTTTCAGCTAAAATAATCATACTTCAACACTCATCAATTGCAACATTTTGCATCGCGCTGTGGAATAAAATGCCGGTTCAACTTCGAGTTTAATTCCCGTGAAACCGGGATCGTTTCTCAATGCTCGATTTATGATTCCACTGCGATCCTGAAGTCAGTAATAAATAATTCATCAGCACCCATGCATGGGCAAATGCCACCTAGATTTGTCTTGCTGTTTCCTTGAATATTTTTTTCTCCATAGTTTAAAGAAAGTAAAGTTCCAAAGTAAAGTTCCTCCTATTTAGACACAGCCAGTCGAGTAACTCTAGCGGCTGGCGCAGCATGTTCGAGGACATCGCTCCACCACCCCGCGTTCGGTCCACGTCCTGACCAGAGGCCGAACAATCAGAACTCGGTCCGGTACACGTAGCGTCCGATTTCTCCTCTATGATTGTTAGGTTGACTACAAAACAGTCAGTGATTGTCTGACGGAGTTAAGAACTCACTAATTCTTTTCGATAGGTAAGACTGCGACAACGAAGCAGCTTGCAGGCGAGCCGGCCATTTACTGGCAGGTCCTACTGGGTTTCCAGCATAATTATTGACACAAATTATAATAAAATTAAGAAAATTAAGTTTATGTTTATTAAAACGTTTATAAATAAGATACATTGAGAATTTATTTACGACCATCATAAAATTGTGTGCTTTTTCGAGTCATTGAAATTTTCGCTAATTGTAGTTCTGATTAAAATACATACTATGTGAATGAATCATTCCCTTATTGTTCAATGTATACTGAAAATTTAATGTTCATGAAAATATGAACAACTAAAAACAGCGCCTGCGAAAATTCATCCTGCCTGAGCTGCAGAATTCCATCCAGTGCATGCTGCATACTATGCTCTAGATCGATCAATAAAAGGTCCTCTGCATTATGAAAAGTTCTGTCTGACCACGTGTCCGGGTTACCTAGTCTATAGACGAGGGCAAAATGATGGACGAGGCATTCCAGCAACGAATATCTAAAATTCTTGTGCTTCATCACGTCGTAAAATATATCAACGATCCCTCTACTAGCGAATTGCTCGGCCGCTAAACGTAAGACTTGCAAATACGAATGCCACGTTACCAAAAGCAACTCTTCTCTGGCACTAGATGTAATTTTGTCTTCTCTAGGACGAAATTTAATGTTTGCTTCCATCAAGGTGCTCACAAAATCGTAAACAGTTATTCCACCGAGCATCGTCATGAAGGCATTCAATGCTCTTATGTCCTCCATTTCATCGGCGAATCCTTCCTCTGAACATTCATCCTCTGGAAGAAATCGTTTCAATGCAGGGGTCAACCAGGCAGCGGCTTCGCTCAGGGTTTCCATGATCGTATGAAAATTTGTCTTTCCAGGACCATTTGGGAACCAATTGGAGTGTTTATTTTTTGGTACATCAGATGACTGGAGGCATATAGTTTCACATTCTTCGTAATCGATTGAAATAATTTTTGATAAGGAAAATACGTTCTTAGCTTCGCAGAATGTAATTGTTCGCGTATCCATATTCTGCTGAATGCTCTCTAGCAGTTCAGTCAAACTTTTGGGTGTTTTTTGTTCGAAATTATTCAGGCATATCTTTTCGAGAAAGGCGAGATCATCGTTCCAAACTTCTTTCGATATCTGCGGGATGTATGAGAAAATTTATTTTTCATTGGAGAATGTTGTCAGAAGGCAACTAATTGGTAAATTAGTTATCTTCTTCAAATCTTTGTAAACGCTTTCTCATTTAAATCCTGTCAGATCAAATCTTGTAAGTAATTGCTCACCTTATGAAGAATTTTCATCATCCAAGAGTGGGAGTAGGTGACTAGAAGTAAACCTTACCAATAACTATTACACGCTACACAATAAAGAGTTAATGGAATTATTAATCTGCTTACACCAAATCATTCATCCAATACGTCATCAATATTTTCAATTAAGGGTTGTACGTCTAGCTCTCAGCCTGCATCTTCACACATCATCAGCATTATGGGCCAGTAGAGGTGATAGCCCTACTCTACATGCCGTTCCATCTTCCAGTTTTATGTCAGCATTTCGTCCTAACTATTTGCTGTGAAGCCAACCTCCACACACGTCACTACGGGTCAACCTCCACACACGTCACTACGCGGCCACTGACTTGGTACTTGCCGTTACGAAAAATTTTCACAAGCTCAGTAATTTCGCAGTTTCTTTACAATTAATTTGTTTAAACTAAACACCAACAGCATAAAAAAATAGGTCGAGGAGTTCAAAATATTAAGAATAGCTGCATCAGTTTTCATTGCATATACCTGCCTGTTTCAAGCCTTACCACGAAAGTTTAAATCTAGCCTTAATTAACACGAAAGTTTAAAGCTTGCCTATCCACGAATGTTTAAATTTTGCCTTAACACGAAAACCTATAAGCAATAAATTCCGCAGAGCGCGACAGCCTCGTTCAAACTAACTGCAGCCATATCACTAGATCTAGAATATGATGGTTTAAATTCTGAAAAGCCGGAATTCCAAATTAAAATTCAGATCCACTCAGAATCCGCAAATCTTATGTATGGTTAAACCTATTGGCAGGAGCTGCACCTAAGTTCATGTCAACTTTATAAATAATTAGGCGTTCTTTGTAACTTATGAATGTTTGAACCGTATTAACAATTATCATATTTCTAGTACACAGCCTTCAAAACTGTACGTAGTTACGGATCTCATTATTCACTTTCTTGTTCCAGATTATGAAGTTCGGGTAAAAGAAAGACGGAGTGAAAGCGTCAACGATATACTTCTGAACGCCTGCAAGACTCAGGAGTGGGCACTTTATATTTATAAGCGATTAAATGCTTTCTTTGTCAGGGGCGAACGAACGCTGGAGCATTATAATACCTCTTACGGAAATAAAGCGCTCAGATATTTATCCGCAAAAAAAATATTTACATTTCCGTACAGCTTCAAATGCGTTGGATATGATTTCGTGGCAATTTTCATCGTTTCATGAAATGCGAGGTTTGAGTCTAAGTTATAATATTTTTTATATTAAAAATGATTTATCTCGGAACAATTTGTTTTTTACATTGATGAGCATATTTAAATTAAAACAAATGACAAAAAAGATGGCAAGGACATAAAATCACGCCTTAAAACAATCAAAATTTCTCACAAATACACGAAGATAACAAAACATCGTAAATTCAACTCGAAAGATGCGTTCAAGTAACAAGAACATTGATTCAATAACACTCAATTGTCGCTCGTGAAAATTGACTCTCAGAAAACATGTTAAAACATGTAACATTTCTCTAGTGTTATCTACATATTTACTTAGGAGGGTTCAACGACATCACTTCAGCTTGTGCATGAACATTGGCGACATCACTGGACACGACTACATCACATGGCGTGGACATAATGCACATATCTACATTGTAATTGTTTCCAAAATAAAACATTTCAGATACTTTCGTGAACGGATTGAAAAGCCTGCAAGCGGAAGCGCTCTATGGTCTTTTCGCAGATCCTAAGACACAAAATAAACCTTTACAGATTAAAAATAAATATATGATCGACATCAATTAAATTTCTGGCTTAAAACGTTCTACCATTTTTGCAGGTAAAGTGTTGCATTATTTCAAAAGTATCTGTTTGTACCACCTAATTGCTTCCGCAGCAGATAATGCTTGAACGTCAATACAATTAATGATTATCTCGAAATTTTTTTAAGTGCTTGAACGATTCTAAGTGTCATCATATCGAATTACATCAAAGAGGAGATCTCGTATTGGCGGCCACACATTTTTTTACCCGCCATAAAATTAATATTGATATATCTTGTTAAAATACATTTCTTTTATACCAGAAGTACCCGATCTAACGAGTAACACACGAGGATCTCCTAAGTAATACGCGAACACATCAGGGATCATGGATGATTTATGAATTATTATTTTTACGTTGCAAGCAAGATAACATGACAGGGATTGGCAAATAACATGCAACACAAACCTGGACCCAGGGATTCATTGTTAAATTCAAACAGTACAGAGACGGGATGCGCTCATTTTTCGGATCAAGTAATTTAAAATGAAGCATCTATTAAATTTTTAAAATCAGTAGAACTACTGGTCCCTCGCTGCTGTGCGGGACCTTCATGTGTAAGTATTCGAACACGAAATTGTTGGAACCATTGATTTTTTAAGAAAACTTTCTTGTAAAATGCTTTCTTAAAGCTTCACAATTAACTGCAATAATTTAGAAGAGAACATTCCCTCTTATTTGGAAATTCAAAATTGCAATCAAAGTATTTCATACATCCAAACATCATTACCTATTTTTGAATCATAAATATTAAACATCCAATACAAATGCATTTTATCTTAACATGTAGCACATGGTGATGAAGTTGCCATAATACTGTCCATTCTAAAATTGAGCTCATCTCAAACTGTTAAAGATGTCAACTGAAATTGAGCAGCAAATAAGAATTCCTGATTATTTAATGAGTTGCAAGAAATTAATTTTTTGCTTTATATAGTGACTTCCTCTGCAAGGTCTACCAAGTAGAAATTTAAGCTGTTTTTGAAAGAATTGAAAATGGTCAATCACAGGGGTATGAACAAGCCAACGATTGTTACAAATAGTCTCTGTGCAAAAATATTCAACTAGCTCTAGGCTACACGTGGCCAAGGTCAACAGAAAATCCGTAGTTCTAGAAGTACAAACGAAGAATCGACGAGTCTCGTCGCCACGTTGTTGGCGGTGGAAAACAATTTATGGGATCGAATACATCATACGAGTACCATTAAGTAACGACAAGGGACGGAAGGTAGGAATGATGGCATCACAAGTGTTGTCTGCACAAAATTTGGAGGACCATACAGGATTTATGAGATGTACGGTTACGTTACAAGCGTAAATATCAGTCAGTTTGTCACTACTTTATGCGCACTCTATTTCCAAACAAATTAGTAGCAATTGTCACGTTCATTATTCGCTCCTGCAATGAAATGAACTGCATAGCATCTCGTCATTCGACGACAGGTAATTGCTGGAAGAGATACTCCCTCAAGCCAACTGAGTTGGTGAATCATTATTTTGTTTTTATTCTGTCGCAGCAGTAAACATGAGTCAAAACAACTGAAAACATGAGTCAAGACAATTGTAAACATGAGTCAAACTTTTGTAGTTTGTGCTCCATCACACTATAGTGCGCAGCCACGGGGTGGACAATCTTAGATTCTCAATCTTAGAAATAAATTGCTTGTAATTTCCTTTATATACTAAAATACAGATCTCAAGCACAGCGAAATAACGAAAATGTTATTTGTTTAATAATAAGACAATAAAATTTATCCTAAAAAATTAGAAACATAGAAATCAGTTCAAGATTATTTTACTTCAAGTCATATCACAACATTTCAAACTTGTAAAGACTTGTAAAAAAAACTGTTGTTTTGCAAAAATATATAACTTCCAGCACTGCTCTTAATTGAACCAAGACGTTAAAATCCCATCCAAAATTAAACTCAGTAATCATAATTGGCTCAATAATGCTTGAAAGTTAGAACATTAAATTCTTTGAATAACGGTAATAAATATTAAGAGTAGGTTCGTCCAGCTGCTCGTCCTAATACATACGAAAATTATTTATATAACACTATTGCTTATTGTTTATGTTTAGCAATTGGAATATGTGCAATTAACATCGACGAGGTTCAAGTGATAAGGCAACTATTACCGTGAAAGCATGTGAACTTGTATTACATTGACATTTTTTTACATTTTCGTAGGTCGGATACCTCCGGACTTCTCTAGACCAAAATTATACAAAGGAAATGTGCTCGAATTCCAACCACACCTAGGGCCCAAAGCACGCAACTAAATCTGTTAGGAATGGAGGCTGTAGAACCCGAGTATTGTATCAACCTTCGATACAATCCTAAAGTCTTTAGAAAATGAAGAAATTTATATCATATGCCGTTCTTACGATTCTGAGAAATGATTGATTGGCATTATGCGTGTATTCATTGGGTCGAAAAAGTTGAAGTCGTATCAAGTTGTAATAAGTTCGTGACACTAAAGCTATACATAGAACTTGTTGTCTGTAAACAATGCTTCGCCACATGTTCCTTAGTATATTCGTCATTGTATTAGGAATGTAAGTCGGATAGGAAGCTTCAACTTGGCTTCAGTGAAGCAAATTCGCGCGCTTCATTGCCGGTCATCAACTCCATCCTGTACTTTAATGTACTTTTAAGTACATCCTGTACTTTAATGTACTTTTAAGTACATCCTGTACTTTATTGTAGTTTTAAGTACATCTGTACTTATAAGTACATCCTGTACCCTTATGAGTGCTTTTCTGCAGCGACCAAAACAATGAAGGGCTGGGCGGGTTACAATAAATACAGTACGTGTAGCAGGATAGCTTCGATGCAGTATCATGTACCAAATACGTAAGCTTCGCTTACCAATAAGGGCATCATAACAAGTAACAATATAGTCTGCCTTAACCTGCGGGTCTCTGTACAGGATATGATCGCTACACTATTATTGTGTCATTTACGGTGCAGGAACATAAAGATACGAGAAGCATTCAATGGTATCTTGATTCATCATCATCTTAGAATTTGCACCACACAACGACGGTAATGAATCGATAATACTTGCCGCAAAACATCAAAGTTTTTGAAACCCTAAACAAGATGTTTTGTTTGACAAATGTCAGTTTGTAGAACTGGCACGTCAAAAATTTTTCAAAAAATATAAATTCAGACAAAATTGCCTGGAATACTATGTTTATTTTTCGAGCCATCTGTTTCATGGCATGTCAACTGAGAAAGGCTCGCGTCTTTAGCTTTATTTACAGCGCCAAGTAACTGCATGACGTGGGCCTAACGCTAACATGAATACACATTACATAAGCCAATGTTTCAGAAACTTCGTGGCACAAATTTTATTAGCCAAGCAATGTGTGTTCCTTTGGTCAAAAGAATCTAACGCACTAGGCATGAAAGCATAGAACTATCAGTTTATTCTTTTAAACAACGCCAATGAGAAACGTGCTGGATATATGAGCGTTCAATTATTCGAAATCTACACGTATGTTTTAAAATATCTAAATTAAAAGCTAATAATTTATTAAGGCAGTTCAATTTGAGAAATAATATCTTTGTGATAATTTCTAAAATTTATGGACAGGTAAAGCGGTTAAGCTATTTGATAAGGAATATTTTCGAGACATTTTTATTAAAAGAATTAAAGCTGTATGCATGCGTGGAGATAGCTAATTTGGATAAAACTCTCTGCTGTCATCCGTGAGATCCGCAATAGACACCAATTTTTCGACGGGCACTAGCATCATTTCCCCCTGCGGCTCTTCCAGCTGCTCTTGACTAACTGGAAGATAATGATCATCCCGAGATACGTCGCCAGACTTTTTCCTTTTTTCTGAAACATTAGGTTTCTTCTTTAAAAATTGTGAAAAACTTTGAGCTCGTTTCAGAAACTTACTGGGCGGTTTTCTTTTGTGTGGGTCAATTTTGGGCGAAGTTGGATCAAGCTGGGGTGATAATGGACTGTTCTCTTGAGCCTGAGGGTGAGACTGTTCGTGATGCAGAAACTCGATACTGGGAAAGTTCCTCTTTGGAGTCATCGTCTGGAGTGGAGGTGTATCCGCATTATCGTGTGCATGTTTGTCGCTGTGATGGTACAGCTGTGGGTGCGACTGATGAGCGACGTGCCGTGATCCTGAGAAACTTGGGCTACCTACCGTCGAGCTCACTGAACGTGGACTTGAAAACCCTGCTGATGCTTCTTGAACGGCTTTATGTACTTCTCTGTCGTCTGACGTGAAGCTGAATTGGCGTTTTTTCTTTTCGATATTCGCGGGGGTGAACTGAGAATGTGCTTCCGAATAATTATGAGTTGTATCTGCTGGAACTTTGTCGGAATGCATACCATGTTTACTCTCAGATTTTGTGATGGAAGCCGCACATCCTCTACTAGTCCCGGACGTATGACCACTTTTCGTTTCGCCGCCTCCAAAAGATGGAATATCTGCAATTCCCTCTAATAAAACTTTCATTTCGGAATGAAGTTCTGGTAACTTCCTTGATGTCTGATGTTCATGGGTTTGAATTTTCTTTAGCGTAATTTTCTCAGGCGACATAGGGAGTTTTTTGAAGTTTGAAACAGACTCAGATGTGGGCGGGGGTCTGCGACTGCTCACTGGGAGAGCTTCTGGAGTCGTTGGAAGCTTTTTAAGAATTGGAAGCTCTTGGGATGAAATTTTTCGGTAATAAAGTGCATCCGTGGTATGTTGTCGCTTCAGTAACGAAAACTCTGGGATGGCGAATTTCTTGAGCAGATCTTCATCCCGAGGACGAACAGATCTTGCAGGGGTAGAGTTATCCGTTATTTCCTTGGCTCTCACAGAACCGTTGTTTTTGACGACCTTCTCAGTTTTTTCAGTGTTCAATCTGGTAAAAAAACAGATGATAATATGACAATAACTTCAGTGTAATTTAAGAAAATTTTTAGAATAATGATTTGGCAAATTTTGAATAAATATGAATGTCACTTCATATTGAATGAAATAATCCACTCAAAAGTTACGGGTCATTTTGCAAACCTAATATTTTGGGGGGATTGAAAGACGAACGCTGAATGTAGTTGATATGTAATAATATTACTATTAAAAAATCTCAAGCGCTAAATTCATTCATTTAGGTATAATGTATATTTATTTATACCAAGCAACAAAATTGCATTGTGCCTTTTTTCGGCCGCCGTGAAGCTGCATGCTTTACACAGTGGCAGAAAATATAGCAGAGCTTTCTATGGGAAAGAAAACAAAGTTTCAAAAACTAAAATTCGTGAAGACTCTTCTGTGATACATTAAATTTAGTTTAGACGTAATTATTAAAATTTAAATTCACACCTAGGTTGAGATCAAAAATCGTGAGAAGGAAACAAATTTTTCTTCTCATGCATCATTCTAATATAAAAGAAACTTATTTGTTAGATAAAGGACTTATTCAAGGACTGTACCAAAGATAAAACATAAATATTTGCTGAATTTGAAATTTAATTTTCTTTGTAAGCAAAAGCCTTACCGTGCACAACATAAGAAACTGGAATGACTAGGAGGACATCCGACGGCCGCTGATGGTCAGCACCCTACGAGGTGGCACAAAAGCGAACATAAAAGTGGCATGAGCGGACGATGGTCATGCTGATATACTCATGCTCCATGCAGACAAAAACATAATAAACATAGCTACTGCTATGCTGAGCCAAAAACTTATTAGATATATAATAAAATTATTGCGATTAATTCGAAGTGGGACAACATACAGACACTATTGGTCAAATGGTAAACTAAAAATTTATTGTTCATGTGAACTAGACATGGACACGGTTGTTCAGAGCGCAATTTATCAAATGTTGTGATGAGATTTTGCGACTGATTGATCTATCAGAAGTGCTCAAAAATATGCTTAAACATTTAACAAATGTTTTTCTTAAAGAAGCTGGACCAATCAGGAACTAATTCTCTATCAAAAGTGCAGGTACAGGGATCAATATCTTTTGGAATGTAACAGGTGAACGTAGAATGTGAAACATGCACATTTTTATGCAAAAACTTACAAGCTGAATACAATTATCAACAAATAAAAAGCAAAAATGTGAAACATTTGAAATACATTTTTGACCAATTCATCAAGTCAGCACCAATTGAGATTTTCGGATGTAATGACACCCTAATAAAAACGAGGTAGGAGTCACGACTAAACACAGCAATAAAATACTCAACAAAATTTCATGCAACATCTCTAAATCAATCATCTCTATAAAGAAACATCAATCTAACTAATGTTTACATTTTAATTGCACGATTTTAAAAGAATCTTATCTAAGCAGTAAAGCGTAAGACTATTAACATGAGAGTTATAGTTTCTTCCTCCAAGACGATTCATTCACTCACCAGGGTGAGGGTGAGGTTTACTCACCAGGGTGATGGTGAGGTTTACTCACCAGGGTGATGGTGAGGTTTACTCACCTGGGTGATGGTGGGGTTTACTCACTAGGGTGAGGGTGGGGGTTTACTCACTAGGGTGGGTGTAAGGTTTACTCACCAGGGTGAGGGTGAGGTTTACTCACCAGGGTGAGGGTGAGGTTTACTCACCAGGGTGAGGGGGAGGTTTACTCACCAGGGTGAGGGTGAGGTTTACTCACCAGGGTGAGGGTGGGGTTTACTCACCTGGGTGAGGGTGGGGTTGAGGTGTCGGCGGTGGGTGGGGAAGAAGAGAGCCTCCTGAGGGCCTCCCGCCTCCTGAACTCCACCTTGGCCTCCTCCTCCACGACCCACTCAGGGACATCAGGGATGGCGTAGCTGATGGCGTACTTCAGGGCGATCATTGCGTGCTTTTGGAAGGTAATATATTACTGTAATAATAATAAAAGGTAATAGGAAGGTAATATATTAATTTAATTATAATAAAAGGTAATAGGAAGGTAATAGATTATTAAATCTCAGTCAGTTTCTCTGATACAGGTATTTGATGATTGCTTAATACCTTAGACATAAAAAAATTGGAAAAATTTATGGGCCTTAAAAATAATATTTAATGTGAGCTCTTTACTCCGAATGCTCGCACAGTTGAACAGAAATAAGTCGTGCATGTCATGTGATAATTTGCTTTCCATAGTACGCTATGCAGACCAAAAAGTCAGTTTCCGATTGTCGTTTGCTTTGAATGTTGTAAACCAAACGAGATGTGAAACATCCAACAAATTGGAAAGCTAATTGGTCAATTTCGGGTAAAAAACACCTGGGCCGACAGTGTTCGTATGAGAGTACGCTGGCAAGAGCAGGAGTTTGTTCACCTCGAGCACGATGATGAGCAGGAGTTTGCTCACCTCGAGCACGATTATGAGCAGAAGTGTGCTCACCTCGAGCACGATGATGAGCAGGAGTTTGCTCACCTCGAGCACGATGATGAGCAGGAGTTTGCTCACCTCGAGCACGATGATGAGCAGGTATGAGGCTAACTGTTATTGAAATTTGCCTTCACACGTTTACGGCTACATATTTAGGGTGAACTTAAAAAAACTACAAATTTTGTTCGTGAGATACGACGAAAGAGTGAAATAAAAAGGCTGCAGGAAATGATGTCGCATTGATGTGACCTTACGGACGCATCACATGCCTGCCACACGCCGATGCTGGAGACCCGCTGAGGAAATGGTCTCTGGAAGACGCAGCAAAGCTTGAAGGCGTCCGAACGAATCTCGATGAGGTTGTTGAGGAAGGCACAAATGGCGGCCAGCGGGAAGGCGGACGAGAACAACATGACGTAGCCGAACTGGATGAGCATCTCCAGGTAGTCTTCGAACGTCCCGTCATACTGCAGACGTATAGGAGGCAATCAAATATCTCATGAGCTGCAATGGTTCACGGTCGTACTATGAGTTCAGAGTACGTACTAAGATAGTTGCACGGTTCGTTTTTTATTTTAAATATCAGCTTTATTACTGATTAAAAGCCCTACCATGCATTAATATATAATGATAGTTGATCTAAAAAATTTGATTGGGCAAAGCCTATTTATAAGTTCAACCGTAAGAATAAATTATTCACTAATATTTTTACGCTTATCCATAATCTCACGGGCTTCATGTCACTTTCGACATCAGCTTGGCTGACGATCCTTGACCTGCTGGTTGTCCGCTGCAGCTCAGTCGCGCCGTCGTCACCTGACTTGTTCTGATCAGTTGACGCCGGGACGGCGGACGAGGAGGTTGTCGAGGTGTTGTTGTCCTCAGGACAGGAGGTGTCTCTGACCACACGGCGCCGAACTTCACAGTTTTCGTTCACGGACTGTGAGATAAAATCAGCATTAAGAAGAAATTTTTCCATGAAGCCGCACATACTTATTAACTTGATTATGACTATATAATTTATTTATTTGACTGGCCTGTTGGGAAATTTTCAAAGTTGTCTTTGAGCAATTCAAATATTTCATGTCTAAGTTTTACAAAACAGGGATGCCTCACAACAGAATTCTCCGGTGATTCGTGCGCCGATTCTTCCTGCTGCTGGGGCGAGTTGACAGGCCAAGTCTTGGCAGTTTCCTGGGACGGTGACAAGGCGCCGAAGAGATCAAAGCTGAGCTTGGCAAGCCGCAGCTGCTCCATGAAGTATGGCACGCAAGACTCCTTGATGTTGCCCACGATCTGGCGCACCAGCAGCAGCGCCGCCAGTTGCTGCAACACCACACGTCATTTTGGTTGAATACTGACAAAAGGCATACGTCAGGCATACGTCATATTGTGCAAATAGTGACAAAAGGAAGGTGTCATATTGTGCAAATAGTGATAAAAGGCATACGTCATATTGTGCAAATGGTGACAAAAGGCATACGTCATATTACGTAAATAGTGAAAAAGGAACACGTCATATTGTGCAAATAGTGACACACTTTTTGCGCGTAGCACTGATACGCACATTTAGCCACCCGAAACAGGGTCAGGCTGACCCATATAAAGAAATATGAGCATCGCCATTTGTACAGAATCACATTCACTTCTTTGAGTGCATATTTACCTCAAATTCTTAATTGTCCAAGCGCATCTATGAATAATTTCTACGGATTTACTACAGAATTGCTTACTGGGCAGGTAAAAAGTACGTGTTAAATGCGTACCACATTAAGCGCATTTGATTCGCCCTCTTTACACCATGTCCCTACTTACTTAACAAACCTATTACTTAACTTGAGGCAGAGTCAAATCTTAAAATTTTCTGCGCTGAATCGGCTTTTGCGAGCGTTATTTTCGGGAAATTGTCAAACTCATTGAATTACAATTTGGTGCAAAATTTTTCTACTTCCTTCACATTATTTTGTCTGAATATTCAGAAAGTCTACGGTAATTACTGCCAATGTTTAATTAACTCATCAACATTAATGGAATTATTTCCTCGTCGGACCTCTCTCATTTGCCATACCAAAGTTTACAGGAGTTAAGTATATGAGAAATTTGTGTGATTTTTATGATTTGAATACTCACTTCTTTTAGCCTTTCCATGTCTTTGAGGTAAAAGGCGATGTAGAAGAGAGCCAGGAACGAGTTCACGAATCGAAACTGAAATCATTTAAAAGTCATTAGATTAGTTTTATTTACAATATAACTTTCATGAGTTATTTGCATGAATAGTGATAAATTAAAATATTATAACTGATTATATGATTGGAGTTACGAACATTAGATTTAAAAAAAATTAAATTAGATAACATTAAAAAAAATTAGATTAGATAACAACAAAAAATTAGAATTAGATAACAAAAAATTAGATAACATTAGATCTCTTGAAAATTATCAGTTAGAGTGAAAAAAATCCGGATATTCAGGCAAATCAGCTAGTAATCAAAAGATTTTATGTTAAAACTAAAGCAGGTAGCACTTAGTTGCGGAAACTATTTCATAAAATTTATATAAAGTGTTGATGATGATGTTACTAACCAATGCAAGCTTGGCGATGAGATGATTGTGATACGTTTCGTTGGCACGGTAGTTCTCTGCAATGACGAAAGTTTAAATTTATTAGTTTGCTTTTCACTCATTACAGAATATTGCGAATGAAGTTCAAACGTAGATATAATTGATTTATTTCCCATGCGTATTAAATTAAAGCCAACAGGGCGGCAGTTTCTTTAACCAAAACAATATTGAACTAAGCCATATAACCTACAAAAATTTATAATTTCATGCACTAATCTATGTTCTTAATGACCGTGATCGTTGATAGGGCTGCATTTTTTTCACCTAAAATATTATTGAATTAAGTCATGAAAGTCAAAAATGTATACTTTCATACACTAATATATGTTTTTAATGACCGTGATCGTTGAGCCACACAGCCACGCGCGTGTTGAACTCATCAAAGAAGGAGATGGCGACCGCCATGAGCAGCTTGGGACCCCAGCCCAGCAGCCCAGGCCAGCCGCGGCTCTCGATCACGTCATCCACGTAGTCCTGGGGGCAAGGAAATACATGAAGGACTCAAAAGAAATTTGTGTAGTAAGAATAATACTCTAAATAAATAAAAATAAAGTTAAAATCATTATAATAAAGTGAACGAACCTGGCCTGTAATCAATGCCTGTGATGCGTAATATAAATTTTCTCAAAAAGGACTTCAATGTTTCAAAGAATTTGTTTAGATTTACTAGCAATGATCTTGGGATCATTTTAAAGAGCAATTTTTACTTTAAAAATCCACTTCAGTTTGAAGAAAACTACTATAGAATCCCAATCAAAAAGTTCGAATAATTGAAATGGAGCTCAAATAATAATATAAATATCTTATTTGGATTAGGTTTCATATATGCCTTATTGTATATACCTGCGTCTTAAGAATGAGCAACATGACGACAAAGACGATGAGCAAGCAACAAATGACGAGCGGTAACGTGACACAATAACGGAAGACGTTACGTCGCCACGTCGGGAACCAAGGCTCCAGTCTGCCCGTCACGGGGCTCGGCCTCATCTCTCCCTGCGCGGTGAGAGATGCGAGGGTACAGTCAGAAAAATTAATGGGACTGTCCATATAGGGATGCATTTATCGCCTTTGTGTGGTTATTCATGATCAAAGGGCGTATCAGTGCTATAGGTGTGTCCTATTTGGATAATTTTTCCAGTCATTTTTCTGAGTGTACTGTCGTGGAATTTTTGTTGTAGGGCCCACATGTACATAGTATTCCGTACTATAATGTATGCCAGTAAATTACTTTGCACAGAACCAATGACTATTATTGGAATTGGTTCGGCTCTTGTCAGCACATCTACAGTTATGTAATGATCCTTGGATGATATTTTCTAGAGGAGCTAAACGATGCTAGTTCCAATCTCCACATATGTATCTGTGGAGATCCAATCTCCAATCTCCACTGATTGTTCTTTATATTCGTCTTCTCCTTCTGCCTAGCATAAAATCAAAGAAACGTTGATCCGTGATCAATGTGAAAAGGCTTCTTGCCCGAAGATGGTTCCATTTACGCACAGCTTCCACGATTGGACATTGCTTCCATCTCCACTGCTGGATAATTTAATTCACTTCCATGTAAGGTTCGTGACATGAAGGCTATACTGGGCGTCCGCCCTGGTTCAGATCTGCTGACACTACAAAATCAGATTCTCGCATTCCTCAACAAACGGCAATTCTTCGTCATTTGACCTTAGAGGTGCTATGGCCAGAGGTGCCTTCGGATTTTTAAAAGCCGAACAAGGCGCTTCAAGAGTGGATAGGATTTAGTGTTAAACAACGGATGAATCTTGCCAGAGAAAATCTCGATTACCTTTGTATAGAATGCAAACATACCCAGGGCTCACTACAAGGAAGACTTGTTTGTTGGAGGTGGCAGTTATTGAAGAGGACGAAGTCTTGCAGAGTTCGGTTTAATGACCCCGTTTTCAACGCAATATCCAAGAATATTGATGTTGGGCACCGATTTTACAGTTTTCGACTGGTTCAAGGACAAATTTTGACACTTGACCCCTTGCATCAATCGTTCAAGATTAAAAACATGTTTTTCTTGAATTCTTTGGGCCACAGTAATGTTGTTAAGATAGGGGAAGGTGCACTTCAGGTTTTCCTCTACGATCATCTTGTCCATTGCACGCTGAAACACTGCCACGCCATTTGTGATACCAAAAGGAATCCTGGTATATTGGTAAAGGTTTATTTCTTGTCTTCATCGCGGATCTTTACCTGATGATACCCTCTCTCGAGATCAAATGTTGAAAAATGTTTTGCAACGAACAATCTTGTTTACCATATCATCGATTCGAAGGAACGGATAGGTATCTAGTTCAGTATATTGGTTGATGGTATGAGAATAGTCCACCAACTTTTGCTTCTTATGTCGGTTCACAGGGTCTCTAGCGTTAACGATCTGCGCCCTCCATGGAAAGGTGCCGGTCTCCATGATGCCTTCTTTGAGCAGGACGGACACGTGCTCGGTAATGAATTCCTGGTTGTCCTTGCTAAAAAGTCGAGATTTGACGGCTTTGAGCTTACAATTTAATGGCAAGTTAGGAAACAGAGGCGGCTCTGATACAGCAGCAGCCGTGAGTGCACAGCTTCCACCTCTATTTTCAACAACCAAAGAGGGTTTATCTTCCCCATTCACGAATGAGTCAGACTTAGTTCAAATTGTGATGCACTGTTTGTCACTTCTGTCCGCCAACTTGACGATTGAAGTGGTCCATGTTTTACTCTTACTACTCTTTGAATAAGCGGTATCAACTACAGTATCCATTGCACTCTCATCTCTCAGTTCAATAATAAAATGATTTTGTCGTTGAAACTGACAAAAAACTTCCATAAGTTTATAATTTAGCAACGACCAAAAAATATGAACGATCTCAGCGAACCTTAGAATTTTAAGTGATGACCTAAAAGTGTACAAGACCTTAAGTTGAATAGTGGTAGATCCCCCAAACCTGTCGATGTAATCTACCAGTGTTCATCAGTGAAACTGTCTCCTAAACCTGCCGATGATTGTTAACGCAAACTGATTTAGAGGGAAATAATTGAATTCAATTTAATGGATAGAGGCTGAATTAAAGAAAAATGAACTAGGCTATCATATTATTTATACATAATTTGATTTGTTTCTGACCTTGAACGTAGAACTCAAACTCAAGCAAGTTTATAGTGACTAAAATAACTATTGAGGTAATGAGACCTTGAACTGTGGTCTGGGTTCTTGCAGCAGGTCGTGGAGGTCAGCGGGCAGCCCCCAGTCGTGGACGAGCTCAGCGTTACGGCGCTTCCAAGCCTCGAGCCACACCGTCCCCCACACGACGTTCAGCAACGCCAGCGCCACGAACGCTTTGTCTTCCACCGCCTGGTCTGAGCCCCAGAAGTTCAACTGCAAGACACACCACGTGTAGAATTAGCGTTGCGGTTCAACACCCAAACACACAACGTGTAGAATTATCGTTGCGGTTCAATACCCAAACGCACAACGCGTAGAATTAGTGTCGTGGTTCAGCACCCAAACACTCTACGTGTAAGAATAACATCGTGGTTCAGCACCCAAACACACCACGTGTAGAATTAGCGTTGTGGTTCAGCACCCAAACACCTTGAAACATGCCACGTGTAGAATTAGCGTCGTGGTTCAGCACCCAAACATGCCACTTAATGAATTATCGTCGTGGTATGAAATTCGGCTAGGGCGTATTGTTGGAGAAATGATTTTGTGAAAATCATTATTAAATTGCGAGCCAACGGAGCATTTTTGAAGAATAATAGCAGCTAATTTACAGAATTTGTTTAGAGGTCGACAGGCCAATCCCACATAACATAAAGAGACGAGAAAAGATAGTTTGCAAATAATATCGAAGATGGTCATGTTCATGGAAATAGTACAAATGAGTTGTGTAGGTCTTCAGTAAGTGCTTGTGCGAAAAATCTTGCGTAGGTCTTCAGTAATTACCTATGCTATTTAAGAAATGGAAACGAAATATGTACTCGTTTATGCATAGAAAGAACGAACAACAAACAATAGGTGAAGATTCGTTCTAAAAAATGTCCACTGCCAATTTTAAACATAGTTAATTTGGCCTAACAGTCATGCTAATAAAATGAAATAAAAACGAGGAGGTCGCGAGGTCTGGCGCAGCGCGTGAGCAGCACAGCTTTACGGGTCGCTTGTGTCGTGCAGATATTTGCAGTGTAAAGTTCGCTACTCACGACACCCGCGAGGTGACATTATGTTATTAAAAAATATAACTCAGTACCCACTGCAGTGCATGAGTGACAGAGAGCGCATTTTCTCGTCGACGAAAACCTGAAGTCACGGACGGACAGACAGACGGATGGACAGACGGACATGGCGAGCACAATAGTGCATTTTTTTCATCAATGAGAAAATTTGATAAAAAGAGTGATTTTGAAAATATACATAATGACTTCTCAATTAGATTTGTGATAGATTCCAATCGTATCTTCGTCTTGTTGAGAAAGAGCTGAACAAGATAGATTAGGGTATTTCCAGCGGTAATTAACCTGACAGTCTCTTTACTTGGAAAAGGTTCTTAGTCGTGTCCTGCTCAGCGAGCAAGTTATAAAAGATCCGTTATAAGTTTTCATTTGATATCATCTGGCCATGAGAAATTAACTTAATTTTATCGTTTTTTTACACTATTTTTAGTTTCATCGGGTTCGAAAGGTTATCTTTACATAAAAAGCCCTTATCATAATGCGCAGCGCTAAATTATTAATTTTTTCGCCCTGCTCTAACAATTTTCCAATAATGTGAATAATCCTGATACTTTGTAGTATGTTAACTATCGTTCAAAATTAACGGTAGGTGGTGAATAAGTGTGACATTTCATGGAAAACACAAAATTGTTTGGATGACCCCAACATTTGAAGGGTAGTGTATAACAGTGTATTGAACTGAAGTGTATTGGAACAGTTTTTCAGTGATTGATAAAATGGCGCACTGAAAACAATTTCTTCTGCACCAATTGGACAACCGTACGTAACAAAGTTGTTCTTCACTCACCCAAAATATGACGCCCACAACTGCCGGGAAAACCAGAGATGCCGTGTAGAAGCCGAGCCATGCGAAGTATACGCCGATCTTGTCGCCGAAATAATCTCGAATTGCGTCTGAAATTGAAATGAATGTCCATCCCAATATATTAACGAAGGATTATTATTTCAAAGGCAATTACATAATTATCATGGAATATTTCCCAAAAAATTTTCAAGAAAGGTAGAGGATGGATACCTTAGAAATTAATTGAGATTATTATCTTCTCAAATTATTAAAGAAGCAAAAATCATTTGATTAATCGACGATAGCCAATGTAACTGAGACCTCATTGGTATAAAACCTAGATAATAATATTATAGAGATAATAAATATATATATACATATATTTATATTTTATAATATATATTTAATATAGATAAACGATTGAAAACATATAAATTAAATTGATTTCTTCAGCAATGTGAGCGACAGCCAAATTGGCTCTAGAAATTTAGTCTCTCAACAGGAATGAAAATGAGACACTTACTTCGTGTAGACAGATCTGAATTCAATTAATTTAAATTGATCCTATCACTGAACAGATGGGCCATCAGACTGGCATTGGGAGGCCTTCATTGCGTTAACGAGGTTTGCTTAGCAGGATTCGATTCACGTATCAGTTAAGCCTACGGCAGGATTAATGGTATTGTTTTATTAATGGATTGGATGCGCGTATATGTTAGGCTTACGGCAGGGTTAATAGTAATGTTCTGTTAATGAATTTGATCCACGTATCATTTAAGCTTACGTCAGATTTAAGGTATTAATTGTTGGAGTCTTGAACGCATGGCTGGTGACAATATATTCGTGACACTAAATTCTATCATATTTATAAATATTTATATTTGCTTTTGCTAGGAGTAGAGCCTTGCTGCACCCCCCCACAGGCTAATTTGTTAAGTCATATATTTTTCCTTCATGTATGGTTGAAGTTAATCATCAGATTTCCAATGTGAAGTATATTCATTGTATATTCATTGTTAATTTTCCTTTGACAGAATAAGGTGGGCTTAAGTTTCAGATTTCCAATGTGAAGTATATTCATTGTTAATTTTCATTTGACAGAATAAGGTGGGCTTAAGTTTTCCCCCTGATAAATTTCGAATTTGAAAACTAAGGCACACTATTCACTAAAGTTCTTAGGGATTTGTATTTTATTGTCACCATCACATTTGATTGAAATGAGAAGCATGTAATACTTTGATATTTGTTTGTAGAATACCCGTGTACATTTATAGTACACGGGTATTCCCCTATTCCCTACTTTGTGTTATCATTAGTACTGGTGTGCTGAATTTTGTCCTGCAGTTTTACAAAAGAGAAAGGAGATAAACGAAGACCGGGGCACTTCCATTTCTTTCCATTGCTTCCTACGTGGCTGGTTTTAAGTGGCTTTTGAAAATCAAGCCAGGACAGCATTGTAGAGGGCTAGGTTAATTATTAAGGATCAATGTGTAATATCTTGATGTATAGTGTATAGGAAAAAGATGTATTTTAATTAGGATGTAAAAGTTGTAAGATTGTTTTAGAAAGAATCGTAGCTTTGCTGACTGGTGTCGTACGAACGGATTCATTCGGATTTTAGAGAGCGGACAGTAAGGATCCCTCTATTCGGCCTGTATAGGTCTTGTTCCAGATTGTCTCGATTAACTTCGTAACCTTGCCCAATTTTATATCTGTGTTGTGGTGTTGGATTTTAAGTATATCTCGACCAGAAAAGACTTTTATTCATTACAACAGTTCATGCGAACCTGGTGGTCCACAACAGCATTGTCTAGTCAAATAGTTAAATTGATACTTCTGTTGCATGTATAAATTAAAAATCTATTATTAGACTTCAAAATAAGTAGTAGAACTATCACACTCAGCACAACAGGCAAGTGGTGGATGGAAAATTTGATCTACAGGCGAGCAAGTGACGGATATGCTTTTCTAATTTGGAGAATAACTAAAAAACCTGAGCATTCTTCAACTTGAATACAGTTTGAAAAAAAATTTAGTCCTTGAGACCTATTTCAATTTAAAATGAATATAGTACAGTTGGCATCGGAAGGAGTATTTACAGTTCGTATTTACAACAACACAATTTGAGTAAATTAGCTATACATGACTTTTTTTTAGCGGTTTGAGAAAAAAACGGAAGATTTTTGGGAGGCGGCTTGAGTTTTTGAATCACACGAATTATAGTCTAAGGCCAAATAGACTAGTTGGAACAATGTGATAAGCGCCTCATGCCTGAATGAAATAAAATTAAATGCATTCTGAAATGTTATTTTGAAGTTCAAGCTGCTACAAGAAGCCTGCTGAGATTCATCGGTCTTTCTTGTCCGCAGAAATTTTCAGTCAATGTTATTCATGACATAACTAAGTATGCCTTGTTGAATAAAAAATAGAGTAGTGTACAGACGGTATTTTTCGAAAGCAGTAAAGAGCATAGCGTAAATATAACTCTCTAAAAGCCGTTGTCATGAAAAAAAATATTACTCAGTACTCACTGCAGTGAGTGACAGCGAGCGCATTTTCTCGTCAACGAAAACGTAAAGTCACGGACAGACGGACGGACAGACTGAAAGACAGACAGACATGACGAGCACAATAGGGCTTTTTCCATAAATGAGAAAATGCGCTAAAAAAGCCAGTCGATTTAAATGAAAATAAACTGGACGGAAAGCTTCATGAACGTAAGCAATTCTCACTTATGAGGCAAGATGGTGAGCAATAACAAGCGCGATTATTGCGTTGTTGTGAAGAACACACAATCACAATAATAAGGCGAGATGGAGAACAATAAGAAGTGCGTTGTGCTGTTGTGAAGAACACAATCACTATAGTGAGGCGAGATGGTGAGCAATAAGAAGCAGGGCTTCTTCGTTGTGAAGAGTAAAAAATCAACATAATTGAACATGATGGCGAGCAATATACAGTGTATATTAAGCTGCAACGGAAATCACTTATCGCAAGTCATATTTTTAAGCAAAACGTTTCTGTAACGCAAAATGCAGTGGTACTTAAGTTTTCAAACACATTGAGAGGGAACCGAATCGGGTTTCGACCAAAATACGAGCATTTTAAATATTCGAACATGCGTCGAATACTCGTTCGTGGGAACACCAGAACATGAACAGGACAAAAGCTGTTCGAAACCCGTTCGTCTTACCAGGCGCCTCGCACATGCATTAAAAATGTAGACAAAAAAATAGTCAAGTTAAGGTATCAGTGATGCATTTATTGATGAGCAAGTGCTACAAATAAACGTTGCGAAGACGCTTATCATTTCCCTCTCGACAAATATTGGATCTTCCGTTACGGATTGTGGTCGAGAACTGCTGTACCACTGCAGCACCAATAATGATGCATTATTGAGGGCGATAAGCAGCGGATGGTCAAACCACAGCACGAAGAAACTCACAATAACAAGGCGTGAGGCTTAGGAATTACTTTAATTAGGTGTAACTACAGCAGGACGCAACTCACAATAACGTTACTAGGGGATCAGTAAATATTCCGTTACCTAAAGGCTGGTACCTGAAGAAGGTCTGCACCCAGGAGTTCTGGAGGGCCGAGAGCAGGGCGTGGTCGTGCAGAGGGAAAACCTGGTCTATCAGTCCTGCTGACTTCCACTTGGAGACTTGAAAAATGGAAATAAAGTTAGATCATGATTCCAAAAATTCAAGTTTTTTGGAATCAATCAAGTTTCAATCATTGCGTACCAGCCATGTGCAAAATATTGAAAAATCGTAGAGCTGTAAAATTCTGGACAACCGGTTTTTCATATCCGTTGAAAACACTGACTAGTTTTCCTAAAATTTCAATTATTTTTAACGTTCGAGAAAGTTGTTTAAGCTTATATCCTCACTTATTGCTTCTCCGACCCTGAGGGGCACGACTGAATCCATGTCCTCCTCACTGGACTGCAGTGAGTCCAGCAAGTACTGGACGATCGTGTGCCGCTCCTGCCCTGTGAAGAACGACCCCAGATCCTCTACACCCTGTCGCGGCGACCAGGAGTGGAATGATGAAGTGAAACGCAAGGTGCCACTTATAATAAGAGCATTTGACCGAAAAATTGGGAGGCATAGAAAAAAACGAATGAATGTATAACATTCAAATTTAAAGATTGTTTGGTTTTCCTCCCACCATCCAGCCCCAACGCCATAAATTGCACTGAGGATACGATGTACCTAAGAGTTCATTATTTTGTCAACGTATTTTGTTCAGTTCGTATTAGAGAAAAAAAAATCTCGCTCATCTATTTGAGGTATATGGGAGAAATCTAAGTACAAGCATATAATAATAAAGCTTCGAAGCATGAAAATTTCTTTCAAAATCACTGCACGTTTCACTACTACAAGAAAATTACTGCATTACTAAACAAGATGATCAGGAAGCCTTTTTTAACCTGCTACCAAATTTTTGAACTCGGCCTTTGAGAAATTTAGTGTTGGGTATTTTTCCCTATTCAAACGAAATGAAGATCCTCGGTGACACACCAGCTTTTACGAAATAGACCCATTGCCTTCAATCTATGAAGATTGATGTCTTTATTTTCTGATAATGAAAAATGATGATCGATATTCACCACTGTGGAAAAAGGATATTTGAGCCGAAGGCAGCGGGGAAGAAATTGACTTATCGAGTCCTTGAATAACGAGACGCCAACCGCGTTCACTTATTCATACGGTCTCGGTGTCTCGCCAGGGCGGGGAGAGAGCGGCGCAAATTGCTCTTATCGAGATACCACGCCTCGAGACATCGAAAATTGCAGGGGAATTGAGGACGGCCTTGCTTCGGCGATGGCTTTTTGATTCAAACTTTTTTGTCACAAATTGATCGATTCTTTTTATACCATAAAAATACTTGAGCTGTTAGAAGGATTGGATGGCTATGGTATTCGAGTTCTCGCTGCGATGGCTTGAGTGAACAGCACTCCACTGATCTCGTTAGTTTCCAAAAATGTTGGCGGACGATTTATAATCGTCCAGCAAAACAATGTAGAATTGTAGATAAACTTAGTGAAACACGCAAACTTAAAGTTCTATCAACTATGTTCACTTAGATTGTAACAGTTGACCATTATTTTTAACGAGAACGTAAATAATCGTGAAAATTCGCTCAAGTTATCTTTAGTTGCTTCTGGATACAGGAGGGAGAGGGGTAAATCGGGAGTCCGCGAATCAGTCTGTGCAAGCCATGCTTAATTAATGCAGGCGTTTTGCATAATACTGGGACTCACAGGTGCCGAACCTAATTGTTCGAGCTTGGAGCATTCTAATATGTGCATGAAGGCGTTTCAAACGTGTTCTATGATTGAACGTTCCATTCTTAATTAACTTTGCAGATCATCCATCTTAATCAAACTTTCAAATTATCCAAGACTGAGCAGAATAATGAAGCTGAGAGCGAATCTCAAGGTACGATCATATGATTAATACAACTAAATATTGATGAGTTGATTTTGCCTAACCGTTAAAGGAAATAGTGAAAAAATGCGGGAAAAGGATATATTCAGCATAACCTTAATTTAGCATCAAATCCTGTCAAATACATCGTAGTGCTTAGTTGTTTTCACCACGTCTATTTTTATGATATTTTTGTCGAAGTTTGTGTTTGCTTGAAGTCTGGCAGTAATGTATTAGAGCTATTCGCGAGTTATCCACGTTATTTTCCGGGAAATAATAATTAAGGGGAGCGCTGCCGTAGGCCACTAATTTAACTCTTAAATAAGCCCTGGAGCCAACGCCCAGCCTCACCACCATGCTTTAATTTTACTCTGTTACAGAACTAGAAGCCACAGACTGCGCTGGAACTCTGTAATCTAGACCAGTGACATACTGTCTAAAGATAATATTTTCGTAGGTCTTCAGCCGATGCTTTAGAATGTTCGCTCATAAGCATGCAGTTCTGCATCCGGCTGCACCTACTCCGGCCTAACCTCTTTTGGCCTAACCCCCGGCCCCCAACCGCCTTTCTAACTTCCTGCCGGTTGGGTCCGCTCATGTTTGTTCTAGCTGGGTGAAGAAATGTTGCACTTGTATAGGTTATGCCTGAAGTGGTTAGGCGAAAAGAGGTTTAGCCATGCATACCTTTAGCAAGCTCAAGTTGTGACTGTGGACATCCGACGCTAATGTTTTAAGCAGTAGACTTCATAGGCTTTTATGCCCCCTTAGTGTTCTTACTTACGGAAATGAATATGAACTAATTGTGAAGTTTTGCAAAGCTTGCCTCCGCCATGCGCACCTACTTAAGAAAGTAAATATCTTCAATGGAATTGAATGAAAACTATACGTTGGAGTCTTCTTGAAAAGCTATTAACATTTGGGGCGCGTACCGGAGGCCAGTTTTGCCCAGCTACACGCTTAGTTCATATTCCTTTCCGTGGGTAAAAACACTAGAGGGCTTAGAAGCCTATAAAGTCAACAGCTTCATAAGCTCCATGTGTCCACAGCCACCGTTGAACCATGCTAAGGATAATCGTGACTGTACTGCATCTTTCCAAACCTTTCCCAGCCTAACCTCTTCTGGCCTAACCTACACAAGTTGCAACATTTCTTCACTTTAATTAAACAAACCTGAGCGGGCCTAACCTAACCTCGTTGTATGCGGGAAATTAGAAAAGAGTTTCGAGTGTGCTGATAGAGCCAGTCATTGGTTGCAAAAAGGTTGCGGGCCGGGACAGCGTGAATAGGTTAGGCCAGATGAGGTTAGGCCACAATAGGTTAAGCCAGATGAGGTTAGGCTGGAGTAGGTGCAGCCGGATGCGGAACTGCGTGCTATTGAGCGAGCATGCTTAATTATAGGCTGAAGACATACATCGTTATTCTCTTTAAGCAGTGTGTCACTGTCCTGGATTATTGTGTTCCAGTCATTGGTTGCAAAAAGGTTGCGGGCCGGGACAGCGTGAATAGGTTAGGCCAGATGAGGTTAGGCCACAATAGGTTAGGCCAGATGAGGTTAGGCTGGAGTAGGTGCAGCCGGATGCGGAACTGCGTGCTATTGAGCGAGCATGCTTAATTGTAGGCTGAAGACATACATCGTTATTCTCTTTAAGCAGTGTGTCACTGTCCTGGATTATTGTGTTCCAGTCTATTCTGCGACTTATAGGTCTATGGCTTAGTAAACTTATTGTATGTTGAGGCTGGGTGTTTGCTCCAGGTCTTATTTAAGAGTTGAATTTGTGACCTATGGCTGCACCACCGAACATTTAACATTACGTTTGTTTGAAAATTAAAAACTGGATTCGGCATAGTGCGATTTTCAACTCCAGGAATAACCTTTCCCGGACAATTCCTAGTCGAGCTGCTGGTTTAAAAATATATTTACCTTGATTAGGCAAAATGCCTTACTTGAATAATAGGTAAAAATGAGAACTTGCAGTTTAGCCAGTCATTAGTTGGGATAGATTTTTTCTGCAATTTAAGAATCTCATTATTGTTATTTTTATCATCTTGAACCCGTCATTCCAAATTCAGTTAATAATTCGGAAACAGAAGGATTCCTGATTTTTCCATGAAAATAAACTAAAATTTGTTACTTAGATGAGTCTCTCAAATCCACCAGATCCCTAGCTATATACCTCATAGAAAAACTCAGCAAACCCAAACATGCGCCAAGCGACTTTTTGACTTCTAAGGTTTTTACCGTTTTTACTTCTCATAACAGGCTTTTTTTGCCCACTTTGCTTTTTCAAACATATTCCAGTGTCATCTACGACCATATATATACATTTTTTCATATATAAAAAAGCTAAGGCAATATAACTATCAATGCATTATCGTATTAATATCTTCATTATAAATATTGGATATTTGAGTCTTATTAAATATTATTATATGAAGTATGCACAAGTCTTTGCTGATAATAATGTTTTTGATGAAATATTGGGGCATCAAAAGACGATATTAGCATACGATAAATTAATAGGCACACGACCAAACAACAGGACTCGATATAATGCTGTACGTTTCACCACAATATAATTTAATATATCAATAGGAATTTAAAGGCAAAATGTTAATTTTGCACTTCCTCCTCTGAGTGCTTACCTCGAAAATAGATAGGTCGGAGCTGGTGACTTCCCGCCTGCCGCTGCCGTACTCTGCTTTGGTCTTCTTCAGGAGACGAAGATCCTCGGCGCCCTTCACCAGCCTGCGACGGTCCAACAACACCAGCGTGTTTAGGAGTTTACATCATTAAAATAACATCAAAGGAATAATGTTAATTAAGGAATAGCAACATTTTTTGTGAATAATAAAAATTTAGATATTTCTGGATTAAGTATTTTAAGTAGCTGAGGTTACGAAAATGAAGTGAAGAAAAAATTCTAAGCAACTCAAGACGCCAATCCGACTTACTTTTCTAGTCTGACCGCGTTCGAGCAAATCGAAACAATCGATATAAATTATATAAAAACGTTCCGTTGTGATGGTAGTAGACTGACCCGCAGTCACGGTAGACTAACCCATGGTTGAACTAGTATAAGTTAACCCATGAGAAGTTCATTTTCGCGGAGGGAGCTTGTTTCTCGCCTGTGACGTAACTGATCTCAATGACGTCACGGGCATTAACCAATCACCGAAATGCGTTCAAACCAGTCAACCAATCCGTCATGGGAATGACGGGTTTGTTTACTTCTCTCGATCTACGTGACGTAACAAGAAAGCTGAACTGAAAGACGGAACTTCTCGTGGGTCAACCTTATATAGTTCAACCATGGACTCACCCGTCTACGGAGGCGCAGAGGTAGATAGCCCGTGACGAGGTAGACGTGGTCTTGATGGTGAGCACGAGCTCCGGCAGACGCGCCCTGAGTCGCGCTGCCAGCCATGACACGGCGGCGTCATCAGCGCCTGCGCCGAACTGGATCACCACCTCACAACCCTGCCATTCAAATAAATTATATTTATATATAATAAATATATAACTGGAAATGCATTATATAGTAAACAATTTAATCAAACGAATTCGGTAATGCGGATTTTTTCAAGCATTACGCCTCCTGGTATTTTTGAAACGTGACAACGAATTTATAGTGTATTGCCTGAAAATTCTCGCCGGTTGAGTTCGAGAAATGGAAAATACATGATTTGAACATTAGTGGCAATTTACTCTCGTGTTAGGTAGAAGAACGCTTGGTAAACCCAGTAAGCATAGTTTCCATAACAGTTTACCAAAATAAAACGTTGATATTTAAACACAATCGCAACAAATATTGCGCTCGAGTTATTATAGACTCACCTGCGTAGGTACTGTCTGCATCCAGAGTCTGCGTGGCAGCATGAGGTGGCCGCTCTGCGGGATGGTGCGCCTCAGCAGCCGACTTGCTGCACCCACAAAAAAAGGAAAACGAATTATTAGTTCATGCATAGAGAAAATGCTAGACAGACGAATAAAAAAAATTGATGTTGTCTATTTTTTAATTTCAAAGTACAGCGTAAACTAATTAAATCTTGATGAAATCCACCGTCAAAATTCGGCTAAACAAAAGTATACATGCATAGCATCTATGAAAAACGAATATTCGTTTTTAAAAAATCAAATGGAAGTTTGAAAAACTTCCATTTGAAACTGTAAAAATATAAAGCCACTCCACCGAATCCTGCACCAAGTTACCTCTTTAAATTCGTCATGCTGTCTGATTCTTTTCCCTGCAGGTCCATCTA